TATATATATTTTAAAGATTTTACTTACTTTTAGAGAGGGGAAGAGGGAGAGAGAGGGGATGAACATCAATGTGTGAGAGATACATCAATCAGTTGCCTCGCACATGCCCCCAACTGGGGACCTGGCCTGCAACCCAGGCATGTGCTTTGGGTTTGTAGGCCGGTGCTCAATCACTGAGCCACACCACCCAGGGCTATACTTTCTTTGTACCCGTTTTTGTGGGGAAAAATGTTTATACATATCTAAAACAAAATCTGGAAGAAGTCACCCAATTTTAATGATTTTCTAGACAGGCTCTGTTACTTTATAAACTTGTGTTTGTGGAGGGCTTTTTTTCTTTTTTGGCTTGCTTTTTTGTGGGGGCGGGGGGTTTGTTTTTTAACTAAAAGAGGAGGCAATGAGACTATGGAAGCAGAGACTGGAGTGATGGTACCACAAGCCATGAAAACCTGGAGCCACCAAAGTTGGAAGAGCCTTCAGAGGGAAATATGGCCCTGCTGACACCTCGATTTTCGATGTCTGGCTCCAGAACAGTAAGAGAGTAAGTTTCTGTTGTTTTAACTCATTAAATTTGTGGTAATTACAGCAATCTCAGGAAACTAATACAAGATCCAAGTTAAATGTACAAATTTCCCTTGGTTGCCCTGATCACTAGAGGTTATTGGAGGCAAATGGGGATATGTTTACCGGACACATCTGAGAGATAAGAGGCAGTGCCCTTAAGTTCACTACTGGGAACAAACTAAGTGCTTTGGATGCATGACCAAGTGACTGCCTTTACAAGAGACTACAGGGAGCATTGAGGTTAAGCTGGAATATCATTTTGCTCTATGAGTTTTTCCTCTTCATTACCAGCTGTTTCTGAGAGAGCTATTAAGAACACTCACAGCTTCTAGAAAGACTGTGACTCTATGTGGCTGATGTGAGCTAGAATAGAAAATTAACCTGTATGTGGGATGTCTTAAATTGTAACTCATCAGCACCTTAAGAGGAATGTTGAGAGGAAAGAAGAGGTGGCAGCAACAATAGATAGTAAACATTGGGATTTTGCTAGCTGTGTTATTAGTCAGTAGTGGTAGCAGGCCAAAGAAATGTCCATTAGGCTCTAAGACAATGAGAGCTTTGGATGCATGTACAATTTAGGCTGGTCTCTTAATACCTGCATTTGTGGGCTTCTTTCATAATTGTTAACATGGGGATGCCTCTGTTGCCTACTTCCTCCCTGAGGGATGGAGGAATGACTAGGCCAAATGCTTTTCATACTCAAATCCTTATCCCATCTCTGTCAGCTCAGTTACTGATTCATTTAGATCCCAAGTGGAAGCCAGGTTATCAATTTCCCTACTTCCCTTCGAAGTCCAGTGTGTTCTCCCACCCTTGCCCCCTGTCCTGTCAAGGTGCCTTCTTCCTACCTAGGTCTAGTCATCCCATGTCCTTTGGGTCTTCGCTGAAACCCCTCCAGACTTCTATTGATTGTCCTTTTTACCATGTTTGTAAGTTCTTCCTCTATGCTGAAACCTTCTTCTAACCTGCAGACAGCTCCTCTCGTCCTTTGTTTCTAGAGTTCCATGTTGGAGAGAACGTCTTGAGGCAGAGTGGGGGGAAATGAACCAGGACAGAGGGACATTCGGGCCTACTCAGCACATCTAGTGAGATGTTAGCACATTCAAAACCATTATCGGTCATGGGTTTTTAAGGGGTTCTATCCAAGAGAGCAGGGAGGGGCTTTTGAGTCATGTAGGCTAATGAATTTAAGAAGTTTTATTAACCTAAGCCTCCATTTAACAATTGTCCTTATATTTTGTGTAAAATCATGCTCAATGCTCGTGCTGCTCTCTGGAACCTTAAGAATGTTTGAACCCAAGTGCTAAATAACCCAGCATGTGGGGTCTCAGAAAATGGGTTGTGAGCCCTGACTGGTGGGGCTCAGCAAAGGGACACTGGTTCGATTCCTGGTCAGGGCACGCCCCTGGGTGGCGGGTTTGGCCCCTGGTCCCCGATTGATGGTTCTCTCCCTCTTTCCCTTGCTCTAAAAATAAAACTTTCTTTTTTTTTTAAAGAAAGGAAACGGGTTGTTGAGAACATCTTTGCTTAGGAAGAAGGCCAACCAGTCTTGTTCCTGTCTTCTGCTTCTCTATGTGGCTTCCCCAGCAGCAACCTTAGGACGACCGAGTGCCACGTGCCACGGCCGGTCAGGAATCATGGTAGCACTTCCTTACCTTTCTCTCAGACGTTTGGAGACAAGTGTTTTGGAAATGGGCAGTTTAGGAACTAGAGTTCAAACCTCAAATTTAACCTGGGATAAAGGCCAAGGAAGGAAACCTGAGCAGCAGAGAGCCAAGAGGGCGCGCTTTTGGAGGTTTCTGTCTTCTCTCCCACCCTGGTTCCTCCTCATCTTGACAGATTCATTACCGAGCCCTCCAGCCTATATTTAAAGCCCTCCCTTGAAAGATGTGCCGTTTTTCTGGCCATTCATCTGATATGCACACCTCAACCCAGGGAACAGTTTTCAGTAATAACCCTCGTTGTCAGGAACCCCGTGGCTTCTCTTGGGTCGCCAGCCTATGGTGTGTTTTTCCTGACAGCTGGGGGCTCGAGTCCTGTAACAGAGAAAGTGGAGCCATAGGTAGCTGGCTTTCTAATGGTCACATGAAGGGATAGTATGTCCCTGCCTACATTCATGCCAATCACAGCAGTGAGACGAACAGAAAGCTTTAAAGTAAAATCAGCATCACAGATATTGAAAATAATGGGAAAATCAGGAGTAGGGGTGTGATGGCGGTCAGGAACAAATCTGAAGTGACTGGAGCCCTCAGTTTGTCAAAAGGGGACAGTGGCTCCTATGGAACCCATCAGTTCACCTCCATCTGTCCCTGCTGGGCTATGAATGGTCACCCCCAAGAGCAGAACTGACCACCTCTGGCAGTCAAGTACCAGCTCTTCATTCCCAAGATTGCTTGGACTTCCAGCGGCCATTGCTGCTAGGCCCCACAGGTCTATGCACTCAGGGCTCCTAAAGCGGGCAGGACCATCCTCATCTGACGTTTTCAGGCCTCCTGGGATACTTTCAGTTGGGCCTCTGAGGGCTGAAGTACCTCTTCCCTTGAATTGTCAGGCATATCATCCTCCCCCTTTCTTTCATAAAGATAAACTGTTTCCCTGGCCCGGTTTAAGGTTCATTAGTGACAGGGGCTGCTCTTACCTAGCTTCATGTGCAGCCAAATCCATCCCTCTGGTTCTGTGGTTCTCAAGCTTGAGCACACACGGGAGTCACCCAGAGGGCTCGCTCAAACAATCTGCTGGGCCCCACCCCCAGAATTTGGCTCAGGGTGAACCCCAAGAATCTGCATTTCTAAGAAGTTCCCAGCTGATAATGATGCTACCGGTGTGGGGACCACACTTAGCTTCCCCCCAAAGGCCTTCGAGGAGAAGACCTGCCGCTTTGGTGGCTTCCCAGTCCTGCCTATGTGCTGCCTGCGTTCCTAAGTCCCTCAGAGCGGAGCTCAGCTGACACTTTGGGGTGGGCCAATGCTGGTTAAAATAAGACACCACGACACCAGGATCTTGTTAGCTGGATATATTTCATTTTTTGTTTGTTTGTTTTTGTTTTTGTCACAGAACACTGTTTGCAGTAGAGGAAACGGGCATTGCAGTCTGGTGGTTAAACGGCTTGTTCACATAAACCAGTACATGTTCATCCTTTAGCGCAAAAAGCCCCAATGGCGCGTACCCTATTGAAATTCAGGACATCTCCAACATTTTCTCTCTCTGTTTTTCTTGGTCATCTTTTTTTTAATAAACATTTTCAAGGTTTGTCCAAAAGAAGGCCATGTAGGTTCTTGGCTAGCGGAAGACAATCAGAACAGCGGTTGCACACTTGGACTGTCACCTTCTCCAGGCTGGCAGCTGATATCTTATTTTTTTTCTCCAACTCATTTTTATTAAAAAAATAAAAAAATGCTCCAACTATCAGTTTTACAAAATCTCTAAGGGAAACACAAGAGCAAGGTGCTGAGGTAAAAAACACCTGAGGTAGCTTTTTTTTGTGTGTTTTTCTCGTTAAAAAAATCTGTAAATTTAACGCCCTGGGCCAACGACCTCATGTACATCGCTATTTTCTTCCACATTTTTTTCTTAAAAAAGAAAGAAATCATTTTGCTGAAAATTGATGGCTTATACACCAAAATGTAAAAAGACAAAATATATTCTTTCTTTGTGGAATTTTTCTTTGTTTGGTTTGTTTGACGGGTTCCTGTTTTCCTCTTCCAAAATGCTAGGACAAGTACCATTGACTCTTGTTCTTTTGAGTAACCAAGTGTAAGTTGAGGCTGGTTTGTGTGTTTCGCTTTTGTTCCTTTTGTGTGATGTGATACTCAGAGCACTGCTTTGCCTTGGGGGGAGGGGTGCATAGAGAGTGGAACTGAGACAGAGGGATGCAGGGATTCAAAAGAATGGGCATGGAGAAGGCGGGGAAGGACACAGGAGAGAGAAACAGAGAGAGAGAGAATTATATAGCAGTATGCAAAAACCAGTTTAAAACCTGTGAAGCAAAGAGAAATGGCCGTGTGAGCTAGACAGGGATGAAGAGAGGCAGAGGTTCCTCTTCAGAGAGACGGTATCCCTTCTGTTGACATACACAGGTGATCCAGAACTGCTGTGAGTGTCCTTTGGATGAGACTGCCCTCTGGGTGAATTTTGTGTGTGGGTGGCCTCGAAGCTCCGTACTAACCCAGTGGACCTCCCAAAGAATGACTTTATTCTTTAAAGTCTAGAAAAGCCTGCTTTCTCTTTACAAAGAAAAAAGAATTAATACTTGATTAAAAATTGGAGTTAGTTGAGTTATTTGATATATTATTTCTAAAATATATTAACGCTGCAGGCACCCTGTGTAACCCACAGGCCACGTAGCTTAACATCTTTCCCCTTCTAATATGTACACACATGTACAGAGACAATTTTCCACAAAAAAAAAAAAAAGAAAAGGGCATGAATTTTGCTTTGCTTTGAACATATTCACCTATGTTAGTTCAACTAAAAGGGATAGCGTGGTGGGGGTTAAGGAGAGATCCGAGCGGATGGGGACGTGGATGGCTGGGAAGCCTGCAGAGGCCCTGGGGGGCGGCAGGAGGCTGGCCTGTGAGCCCGCCGACCTCCGCCTCCCTCCCGCCCCCCGCTCCTGGCCCCTCGGAGTCTCGGGGCCTCTGCAGAGTCCCGGGCGCCTCCGTAGACTTCTCGTTCCTCAGGATGGTCTTTGGTTTGCTCCCGATCTGGCTGGCTGTGTTTGGTCTCATTCTGTCAGGTGTTGGAAGGGCTACATTCATCCGTTGTTGTGCTGGTGCCTGTGGGAGCCTCACTTGCTGCGCTGTGAGGCGACTCCCTGAGGATATTTCTGTTCCTGCTGCTTCACCTGCTGTACGATTTCCCTGATCTTGCGCTGTGCAGTCTGCAGCAAGGGAGGGGAGGGGGGCGGGGGGGGCGAGAAAAAGGAACCCAGTTCTGAGGATAAGCGGTGGGGGTGGGGCTTAGGGAAAGGAGGTGGTAGGCTCAGCAAGTGTCACCTACCCGCGGAACCCCCTTCCTGCGGGGCCTTTTCTGTCTGGAAGTAACGTGGCAGAGTTCCTCCCACCCAACCCCAAGGCTGCTGGACAGAGGATAAGGGGGTGGAGCCCCAAAGCTTCCAGTGAATTGCTAGACAGGCCAGGAAGCAGGAGTAGGAAACCAGTGACCAGGAAGCCTCGTAGGGGTCAGACAGCACCCCCCTGCCAATTACACTTCAGCTTCCAAAGCTGCGCACCCACGTTTCTCAAGTCGTCAGAACGTTAGAAGTAGTCAGTGAGGTGAGGAAGAAGAGATAAGTGACAGCAGACACTCCACCCTGGACAACTGAAGAAAATGTGTGACCCCCAACTTGACCCCTCACCCTACCCCAGTGCTCCTACTGCAGGGAGACCCCTGCACACCGAACTGCGGGAACCTGGTGGCTCAGACACACCCCTGGGCCGGGGCTCCTCCCAGGACAGTCGAGTGTCCCAGCAGTGGCCCAGGCCCAGGTCCAGGCCCAGGCCGGGGAGTGCAGGCCGAGCGCTCGGGCCGACCTGCGGGGTAAGCTTAGCTCAGACGGCCTTTGCCGGGTGAAGACAAGGACTGAGACTGCTCTATCCCCAAACCCAACCATCCAAAAGAACAAGGCCACAGGATGCGGAGTCACTGGCCCTTCAGAAGGAGAGAGAAGCAGCCGTGTGCAGGCTGTGTCCTGATGGGGGGTCACAGTGAGACGGAGGAGGAGAGGTAAGGGATGTGAGGGCCTCCCGTGACAAGCACTGAACCCAGAATGGAGATTTCGGCACCCAGGCTGGTTCCCGGGGCCCCGCCGGGGCCCATGCTGGTGTGCGGCTCCCAGCAGAGGAAGGCTGCGGCAGGGGCCTCAGTCGGAGACGGGGAGCCGAGATCTCACACCGGGGCATTTCAGGGGGCTTGAAATGTGCTGGCCTTGACTCCAAAGTTCTACACTCTTCCTCCAATTCCTCTAGCATGCCTGGGGACAGTGGCAGGGAGAGGCGTGGAACAATCTCCCCTGCCCTGCAGGTTGTGCCTGAAGAGCCAGGGAGAGGTTCCATCTGTGGGGGGCGGGGGTTGGGGTGGTGGGGTGTGTGTAGTGGGGGCTGTGGCCGCCTGACAGGCACCAATAGCTTAGAAACGAACAGAGACTGGAAAAAAAGACCAGACCCTCACAGCACAGGTACCTGGCTAGCGAAGAAATGCCCAATGATTCTGACGATCACTTCCTCGTTTTCATCTGGCGTTTGGTCACGAGGCACGATGACTTCTGCACTGGTTAAGTTCTGCAGTTCATTCACCTGTGAGGGGAAAACGGGGGGCGGGGGGCTCAGGAGGAGGTGGTAGAGGGGACTGGTGGCGGGCAAGGAGGCTGGAAGCCGCTCACCTGGGCTTCAATCTAGTACTCCCCTGCCCTGGTCACATGGGGCCACGCTGGTTTGGACCACGGGAGGCTCAATGACAGGGAGACAGGAGTCCAGCCCGAGTCCGCGGAGCTGCTGCTGGGGCTGAGTCCTCCTCCGGCAGATCCCATCACTGTGGTTCCCGCACACGCTCACTGCGGCCCCGGGCTTCCCAGTAACTCAGGGAGGAAAACCTCCACTGGGCCTGCTCTGCCAGGTGCCACCCCAGAGCTGACAGAGTGAACTTTCTAAGAATGCTCTGCTCTCTTCCCTGCTCTTCGGGTTCATTCTGGCCTCTGAGTCTTGCTTATGCTGTTCCCATCCCTGGGTTGTCATGTTTTCTCTCCACTACTCCTGCGCCCAGGCCCAGCTCTCTGTGGCGCTCCCTGCCCAGGCCAATCTTGCCTCATCTAAGCCCCGCCCCCTGCACCCTGGCGCTCCTCCCCCGCCTCCGCGGGACTTCCCGGCCCGCGGGGCTGCGCAGTGGCCCCTGGCCCTGTCACACGCTCAGCACGCCCTCTGGGCGGACAACTGACAGTCTCTGGACATTGAAGGACTCAGGATTCTACTCCCTTGTGGTCCGATCTGCTTTCACCTTGCCTAGAGTTCGGGGCGTGTGCCCTTGCACGTGGATCCCACTCCTCGATGCAGGGACTAATACGCACTCCAAGCTACCTGATTCCTTTGCATAAAGGTAACTCATTGTATCTAGAAGTTGCCTTTGATTCCTTTAAGGGTCTTCACGTAAAGAAAATAGCAAACACACACACACACCCACTCACTCAGGACCATAGAGAGCTCCAAATTCCAGCCACCTACGCTCCTGGGCCTGACAGACGGCTCATTTCTAAGGGCTGCAGAGTTCCTTCTCTGATGCTTTTTAAATTACACTGTGGTATGGCCACCTTCAGGTTAAAAACCTTGATTATTTTGCTAAAAACGATTTCCTTCTCACCCACCACCCTACTGCTGAACTAGCTCCCCAGGAGCAGGCAGCCGGGTGCAGGAAATAACCAGAGGACTGGGCGGATCTGCAGGAGGGAGTGTCAGAGCCTCTGGGGGCAGCTGGCAGCAGAGTTTGAGGAGCAGAGAGAGCGCAGGACACCAGACGCCACGGGCCCCGAGCGTGAGTCAGTGAGGACAGTTGTCTGCCAAGTGGGTGCACCTTGGGCAGGACTCTACTCCCTGTCAGTTCCCTGCTGCTTTGTGTGGATGTAAAGTGGGCAGCAGGCAGCCGCCCCGTGGCCAGGGCGTGGAGACCACTCCCCCGCCTGAGCTGAGAGGATGAGCAGCGCTGGGCGCAGGACCCCAGCGCTGCAGGCATGTACACTGGGCCCTCGGCTCTGGAGTGGTGCTGATGACACGTGTGTTCTTGAAGAGCCCAAGGGGGTCTGGGGGCAGTCCAGCCGGGCAGAGCATCGGCCCCGCATACGAAGCCAGCTCAGGGCGCACTTACGGTTTTGCCGCCCTTGCCAATCACCCGGCCAGCTGTGGAAGAGGGCACTCTGATGTGGGCTTCCAGCTTGACCTCTTCTTTGGGGTTAAAGAAGTTTTCCTCTTTCAGTTTCCCAAAGATCCGCCCCTGGGCCTGAGAGCAAGACACGTCTGGTGAGTCTCATAGCGGCCTATCGATCCAGGTCAGCAGTGTTGCTGCTGGAATTCACGAGCCCAGCAACTGCACACCCCCGCCCCAGACTCACTCGGGCTGGGATCAGGGAGGCCGAGCACCCTGCTTCGGCTTGGCCATAGGCCTGGCGGGCGCTGCTCCGGCCACATCCCAGGACCGCACTGTGCAAAGTGTGCACGAGCGCCTGCGTGTCTTCACGGTTTGTGCAAAATCACCACCTCCAGGCAGCTTTCTATATGTCGGGATGGGGGAGGTGGTGAGGGGGCAGAACCATGTGTCATTTCTGCCTCCCTAGCACCGACAGACGTCTGCGTGAGTGAATTTATTCGGGGAATTCTTAATTTCCTCCCACCATGGTATGTTCAGCCCTGGTTATTATGGGATGGAGGGAAGGGTGGCAGCGACGGGATTTGATGAGTCTGATCTCACTGTTTACTGTCTAACTCCAAAGCCAGTGCAGCCAAGGGGTTATAGTTCTTAAAGAAAAAAAAAAACTTAAAAAACTGAGATATAACTTAAATTACCTAAAATTCGCCATTTTAAAGAGTACACTCCAAAGTTTTTTAGTATATTCACTTCATTACTAAATCCACCACCACCATGCAGAACATTTCCATCTCTTCCCCCCAAATAAAACCCCTATTACCAGTGAGTTCCATCTCCTCCCCATCCCCTTCCCCTGGCAACCGCTCTTCTGTCTACCCGGACTTGCCTCTCCTGGACCTGTCATGTAAGTGGAATCATGTGATGCGTGGCCTTTGCGCCTGCCTTCCCTCAGGGCACCGTGTGCCAGGCGCCTCCCTGTTGCGGTGTCCATCAGAGTTTCAGTCCTTTCTACGGCTGAATAATATCCTATTCTATGGGTTGTTGTTCTTGAATGGTTCCACATGTGTGTGTTTTAGCGTCTCAAGTTTTAAATATTTTTAACGACAAGGATTATGCTTTTATAAATATTTCTGACTTTTAGAAAACTCAAGTCATAATTTTCCCAGGGGGAGGAAAAGGCAAAAAAAAAACAAAAAACAACAACAACAAAAAAAACCACCACCACCAACCACCGCCCCCCAAACCACCAACCAGAAAATCCAATGCACCCACCGCACCGTGCTATTTCCCCTTGTACCCCATCTTTACGCCCTCATAGCTTGAAGGGTAAACATGACTAAATGAGTCTGAAATATCCATCCTCAAAACCATGGCTGAGGGATCAGCAACAGTCCAGAGGTGGTGCCATTCAAGCTCGGCGTCGACAGACCACCCGATTTTCCAAGGGAGAGAGGGAAGGAGGACTCCGTGCAGAGGGAACAGCCTGGAGGTGGGAGGACAGGGTGAGTCTGAGACTGGTAGGTAGCAAAGAAGAGCCTCAAACGTGCCTCTGAGGTGGCTGCTGCCTGCTGAACGGCCCTCACTTCCCCCAAACAGGCTGCCCTGTGCTCACGGCCTGCAGAGCTCAGGTAGCCCTTGGCACTGACCTTGAACTGGGCTTCAGGGGGTCCGGTGATGATGACCATCCTTTCGCTGACATCGGGGCCTTCCGCTGGAGCAATCTGCAGTGCACAGGAAAGGAAACGCTGCTGCCTGGCCACGTGCCCCCAGCCCCTCTTGTCTGGGCGGACGGCACACGCACCAGCAAGAGACTACGGGCTTCTGCCTTTGCTTCGTCTGACCCCTGCTGCCTCCACGCTGGGGCTTAGGAAGTCATGACCAGAGTGCCCGGTGTCTTTTGTGGGTGTTTGGCCGCCGAGGGAGAGTTGGCAGCAGGTCAGCAGTCCCTGCCTGTCCCTGCCTGAGCAGAGCAGGGACTGGCTTGCTTTCCCTGAGGGAGTCAAAAGCTCTAGGAAAGGGGAGGTACAGACTGTGCCAACGGACCCAGGGCCCAGAGGGGAGGAAGGCTCAGTCCACAGAGGCCTTAACGTGGAGGCAGCGCACAGGGAAGGTAACGGCGTTCCCTCAGCTCCCAGGGGCAGTCGGCTGCGTGCGACAGTGGAGCGGGAGCGGGTGCGGCTGGGAGCCAGGCTGAAAGGCGAATTCACGAGTCACACTGACCCAACCTGCTCTGCTGTCCTGTCCACTTCCTAGAAGCTCACAGCTGCCTGGCTCAGATGCTGCACGAAACCCCCTATCCTCTGCCCCGCCCCCCGCCCATCTCTCAACTGGCACCCAGCAGCCCACACCACAGGTCTGAGCACGACAGGTGACTCCGGTTCCACAGAGGCCCCCGCCCCTGCAGGCACACTCCCTCTGAGGACCAGGAATGCAGACCCCATTTTACGACCGAAGCAGCAGATGGCACCCAGAGGGGCGAGGTGACTGCCGAGATCCCAGGCTGGAGCAAGACCAGGCATCGGGCACCAGCGCTGACCGAATTATGTGTGGGCTTCTGGCGCCTGTGGACCAGACGCTGTGCAGGACAGGGAGCGATGGGAGCTCTGTCCTCGCCTGTGACCCGAGCACCTGGCGGGGCGCCCTGCCCAGCCTCTGCTCCACCACCCTGCCCAAGCATTAGTCAGTGTGAAGCTCTTCCCTGCCTGTCGGCCTCCAGAGTGGCCTCTGCAGACTGGGGAGGCAGGAGTGGGGTCTTGCTGCAGGGACAGAGGCTTTCAGAAGCCTGTCGGGACAAAGGGAATCTAGCAAAAACCAGGCTGCTTTTAAAACGTAGGGAATTTCTCTCACATAAACTTGGCGTCCCTGGTTTTCTCTCCTCTTCCTCCCTGCTCTGGATAGAGGCAGAGGCTAAGGAGGGAGCAGACTGTTAGCCCAGTATAACAGACATCCCGCCGCTACCAGGTTGCAGAGCCCAACCCGCCCCCCTCGCCCAGCCCTGCTGTCTTTGCCCATCACAGAGGCCACCAGCAAAGTGACATGCCACCACTCAACCTTCTGGGACACGTGGGCTGGCAGGGAATGATCCTGGTATAGCACCCAGGCTGATGCAGTAGAAAAACACTGGGCCACAAATCAAACCACCTGGTCAAATCTTGGCACTCACATTCTTTAGCTCTGAGGCCTTCGCTACATCACCGATTCTCTGGGCCCCAGTTCCTCGTAGGCAACGGTAAATGGAGAGCTATGGCTGCAATTAGTGCCAGCAGGCGATCAATGTCCTACAGGTCAGCAGAATTTACACTTGCGAGCTAGTCCTGCCATCTATCTGCCTCAGCTATGTCCCTAGACCTCGCTAACGCTCCCTTGGGGGAAAAGAAGGGAGGATTTGATGAGATGATCCCCCAGGTTCTTTTTAGTTGAAATACTTTCATTCCATCTCCTGTGTGGCGTCTCAGACCACAGGACTGAACACTGGGAAAGGCACCTGGGGTACAGCCAGCCCAGCGGTCTTCCACACCTTACCCGTCCCACCACGGGTACGGGACCAGCACGGCCTGGGCCAGGGTCTCACCTGCAACAAGCCTGCTGGGTGCAAAGGCCCCCGTGTGCTCCACCACTGTCCCCCCACACCTGAGGGCTCCCAGCCAGTCTATCCACTTTGCAGTTGGGGTGAATGAGGCCTGGAAGGGGAAATGATTTATCTAAATAAAATTCTTTTATGGTCTTACCGCTATCTTCATTCTGCATGACTCAGAATGCTTTGTTTTTGTGTTTTTTCTCCAGCACACTTGCTGTGGGAGAAATTCCAGCTCTTCTTGGAGAGAAAGTGTAAGCCTTCTTTCTCTCCAAGTCATGAGACTTCTTATTCAGAATTCCGGGTTGTCCCATGGTAGCAAATTATTTTACGTAACAACGGAAACTCTGTTTCCGAAAGTGTTTCACGAGGCTCGGGACATGCTCAGCATTCTATCCGTGAGTCAGAGCTGATAGCTGGGCTTGGAGCAGGACCAGGGTCGAATAATCCTTCCCTTTCAGCTTCTCTGATGATTCTTCACATTGTGCTTGAGGAGGCAGGATGTGGATGCGTAAGTGCAGCTACGCCTGTGCTCACAACCGTTTCCATGAACCAAGGGGCCTTCCTTCCTGAGCCTCTCCGTGCGGTCCCAGGGCTTCATATCAGGTTATGTCACTGGCTCTTTGTTTATCTATGGTTTATCACCCATCGCTTTCAAAGAGGTTTCCATTCAAACTATTTTTTCAAAGTTCAAGGGTTTGTGAAGCAGGGACTAGTTAAAGCATCGAAGTGCTGAAAACCGCTCAGTATATATGATTCTCCACTTAAGGTCACTCCCTTAGTTTGGGGAAAATCCTCAGCCTTTCAGTGGGAGGACAATGGTAACCCAAGAATTGGGATGGCTTATCTGTTATTAATATATTTTTTTCTAATTCAGTTGTTATTTGAACAAAAAAAGGAGTAAGAGAGGTAATGATGAGAGCAGACGGGAACAGTTCTGGGGGCCAATTTTTCCAATCGTGTGGGATTCTGTCCCTGGAGGACATCAGAATTGCCATCCTCGGGGCAGACAGAAGGAATGAGGGCCCAGGGTGGGGAGGAGGCGGGGGAAGCGGATACAGACAGCTGTTGAGAGCAGCTTTACCTTGATGGAGGCACCGGCGAATCTCGCCAGCTGTTTAATGTGCGCCCCCTTCTTCCCGATGATGGCGCCCACCGCCTGGGTTGGGATGAAGAGATTCACAATCTCCTGCTCCGGGTACTGCAAGGGCAAGACAAGACAGAAGACATTCCCAGTGCGGTTGCTCCTTCGGGAAGTTACGGAGCATCTACTGTGAGCCCTGTGGTGGGGTGGCCCCATGACCAAGAAAACTGCCAAGACAGCGCATGGACTTTACTGCGGCCTGGGACCCTGCAGGCGGGCAGCTGGAAGAATGGACCTGAACACCAGCAAGCACAACGCAACCGTCAAAACGCAAACTCCTCTGGAGCCTCTCTGCGTTTGCTGGACACAGAAAGTTGTCCACTCACAGGGTTTCTGTCATATACAAATGTGACGTGTTTCGCCCGTCTTCATCCAGGAAATCAATGAAACGTACGTGGCCTGAGCGCAGAGCTCCAAGCTGCTTTGTCAGAGGGAATGGGACGCTGCCCCATCCGTCTTGGAGCCAGGGGTGGCCCTGTCATTAGAGTGGTGCCATACTCAGAACAAGACGGCCACTAAATCTGCCTGGTGACAGCCCAAGGAGACGTGGGCAAGGCCACCGGGAGTCTGTGCTATAAGGAAATAAAAGGACCCCATTTGCTGGACCTTGTTCAAAGATCTTGGAAAACTCTGGCCTTTAGCCCAACAACAACTCCCAACCTGACCTGCTGACCACTCATCTGAAGCAGTTTCCCGCCACCAACAGGACTGTGAGCATCAGCAGGACCGTAACCTGGACAGCACCAGCACTTTGAAGGCCCCTAGTGCACTCAGTGCTGACAGGTGCTTACGCCCTGTGATGTGTCATCCCAGGACGACCTGGAACCGTAGGACGCAGCACTCACAGGTGAACGTTCACCGGTCAGTCTGCCAAGGACAACGTGGTGCCAGCCCCACAGGCGGGGGGGTGGGGGGGAGTGGCGGATGGGGCTGAACGGAGGGGCACTTACGGAGTGGTGGTGCGGGAACGGGCCGAACTGGTGAGGGGGGTACAAGCTGGAGAAGTATCCGGAGTGTGTCTGCAGCAGGAGAGAAAGAGTCAGTCAGCCGAGCCCCGGGGGACACTCGCCAAACCCAGGGCAGCAAGGTCACCCCACGCAACCCAGCCCTCTGCGCCGTCAGCGGGCCACACTGCCGCGTGTGCACGCCTCTCCCGCAGCTCTGCTCCCTGCTCCTCTTTCCCCCTCACAGCCCAGGGCCGGGCGGAATGTTGAGCATTTCCAGCGGGGCCATGCTTGACTCCCAGGAACGTACCACGGGGGCGAGTGCACGCACGGGCACCCACAGGCACAGAGAGGGCAAGGGCGGTGTCCAGACTCACACGGAGCTGGCAAAGAGGCTCCTGGGGAGTCAGACCAGTGAGCTCCACCAGAGCGGTTCAGAAGGGAGGGAGAGACTGAGAGAAGAGAAACTCAGAAAGAGACTGAGGGGGGAGAGAGAGAGAAAGAGAGAATATATGGTGCACGCGTGGGGCGCCGGGGATGGGAAGGCTGATGTGGACAGAAGAAAACACAGCTATTTGGAAAATCACATTTAACAAGAAGCTGCTTTTTTTTTTTTTTAAACCAAATACCTGCTATCCATTAGGTTCTGTGATATTTTATATCTATTCTGAAACTCTTTTAACCCTCACAATAGTCCTGTAAAACAGGAGTAAGTCTGATTTCATATATTCTTAGAGACAGGACATTCGTCAGAGTCCCAACGTCTAGTAACAGTATTTTACACGAGGCCAAGTACACGCTGACATGCCTGTCACAGGAAAGGGGACCAGCTCTGAGCACCGGTCCCTCAGGCCCGCCCTGGAAGATCGTTCAACAGCAGTCAGACACGGGTGCGGCTTGGGAATTGGGGGTCTAGCTTTCGCTTGAGGGCCCCTCAGCAAACCTCACGGTACCCTCCACCTGCGGAATCCCCAGCGGGACTCTGAACTCCCGATCACAACGTCGCCTTATGACACATTAGGGACAAAATGAAACTGTTCCCCATTCTGAGCTGGGAGAGTGTCTCCTACGGGTGCTCTAGGTGCCCATGGAAGGGAACCCATCTCTGGAGTACGAGCCTTTCCTTTTCGGGACTGACAAAGAGGCTGCAGTGGTACCTCGTGGCCACAAGAGGGGGCGATGAGACCAGCGTTCTCCTGGCGACCTCCAATTATTGAAAGGAAGCGAAGTGAACAGGTTTGGCTGACTTGGTCCTGCTTTTCTAGAAAAGCATCAGCTCCAGACCCGTCTCTGCACAGGTCCCTGTTCTGGGGAGCTGTCCTGGGCCATGGAGGGTGGACAGAGAATTCCTGCCGGGTTTCTGCTCAGACAAAGCTCTACCTTGGAGAAAGGACGCTTCTGCCCTCTTCTCACCAGGACAGCCTTTCCTTTAGCCCTCAAAGCAGAAATCATTTTTTTGAATTGTGATTTGCCTTTTCCTCACCAAAACTCACATGAGGTCAAGAACAGACAAGCCACAGTGTGGCTGCTACTCTGGGTTCAAATACTAACAACATAAACACTATTAAGTTTAGATCTACTGCTTCTTATTCATGAGTTACTACAGCTGGAAAATTGTGTGGAAAGAGCCCTAACTCAGCAATCAGGGAGGAGCTCGTTTCCACCCGAGGCTCCGCCATCTGTGTACACAAGTTGGTTTCTGGAGTCAGAAGGCTGAGAAGACCTGGGACTAAATCACTAGCTCTTTACAAGTTGGAATAATTTATGCAGCCTTGCTGAGCCTCATCCGCAAATGGATTACAATAATATTTAGATCTTATAATATTGTTGAGGATTCATTCAATCATCATTCATACAGAAGATATTTGAGCATCTACTATGTGTGAAGCACTGTTCTAGGTGCTGGGACACAGCTATTCAGACAGAGAAGGCCAACTGTTGCCAGGGGTCTTACATTCTCCTGGGGAGGCAGACAAGTGCTGTGGAAAAAAATGAACAGGACGAGGCGAGGAAGGGGAGCTGCGGGATGAGGGCTGGGATGGCAGCCTTAGTCGGAGCAGTCCTGGGAGGCTCCCGGAGGAGGAGGCCTCTGAGGTGGGAGGAGGCAGAGACTCATTGCAAGGCACAGGGGAGGGAACATTCGAAGCTTGGTTCTTAGAGGTCCAGAGCTAGGAAAGCGGTTGGTCTGTTTGAACAACAGGAGGAGACCCGTACAGCGGAGGTCAGTACTGGTACAGCAGGGCATGATGGGAAGGCAGGCAGGGCAAGGCCAGGCAGAACCTTGCTGGCCTGGTTTGGACATGATTTAACTCCAAATCCAAAGGATGCCACCAACAGATGTTACGTGGCACTCAGTAAGGCCACACGAGTGGAAGAATCTACCATCAGGCACTGTGTGGCTCAATGAATGAGTACTTACTTATAATAAAATATGTGGCTTATCAGAGCATACTTTCTATGTCCCATCTGCCCAAGCTCATGTGGCATTACAACCTCAAGTGGAAAAGGACTTTCCAAACATGCTTAGTCATAATGATCAGAAAAGTCACCTGTTAATGGCTTGAATAAATGTTCTCCTTAATGGAAAAGCAGTTGTAGCCATTTGATGAACCAAGGTCCCAGAGGGAGGGGATGTCAGTGTGGAACCCCCAACCCCAACATGGCAGTTGGGCTCACTATCTCAATTCAAGGGTCCCCCATTATTTTATGACAGAGAAAGTACCTTATTTTTGAGTGTTTCAAAAGCATTATGACAGTGGGGATGGGGACGGGAGGGGTGATGGTGAGGGTACCACTGCCGGGGGCGCCCCACGCCCTGCCAACAGACAGGCGGCAAGGGGGGTGGTCACCCTTGTCCGCGGTTCATTTCAAATTCTGAGTTTGAGGGGAACTGGTGTCTGCTTTTCCTCTATGCCTGGCTATGCTGGGGGGTAGGCAGAGGAGCACATATCAAACACACTTGTGGACATTAAAAAGGGAATTAGAAACAGTTGGGCCTGCTTCTCCTGGAAGAACTGTTGGGTCCTCAGGTCCAAGCTGTTATGTAGGAGCACCTGACGCATGGCTTAGGTGATCTTCTGCAGCATGAAGAAATCGGGGAGGGAAGAATAAAGGGTCGGGGAGAGGTAGTGGAGAGGGCAAGTGTTAGGCATACAAATTATGTTCAAAATTTAAGTAGCTTTTGCTCTGGCTGGTGTGGCTCAGCCGGCCTGTGAACCAAAGAGTTGCCCAATTGAGTCCCAGTCAGGGCACATGCCTGGGTTGCCGGCCAGGTCCCCAGTAGGGGGCGCGCACGAGGCAACCACACACATAGATGTTTCTCCCCTCTTTCACCCTCCCTTTCCCTCTCTCTGAAAAATAGGTAAATAAAGTCTTAAAAAAAAATTTAAGCAGCTTTGGTATTATGACAGAGTCATGCCGTGTTACAAAGGGGACAGGTGCTCACCGGGAGAACCAGGGGTATGGGCACAGGCCTGGGAACGGCAGCAGACTTGGCCAGGGGGGCCATGGTCACGGGCAGAGCTTTCCAAGACTCAGAAGGTGCACCGTTCTACCCCAGTTTGTCAAAGTCCCTCCTTGCATTCCTGCTTATCCACCTTTGTCTGCTCTGCTGGGACAACCTCCAGAGCTGACGAGAACCAGCAACTGGTAAGATGGCAAGCAGTACAGCCAACGTTCGAGCACAGGTCCGTCTCATTTTGCAGCCTACACTCTTAACCACTGCACCCAATAGTGCTCACCTGGAACATTCCTAATTCATGGGTTCGGGTGGGGCCCATGGTGCATGTTATGAGAAAGCTCTAATATGTTTCGATATCAGAGCTCTGTTGAGTTTATGTAAATACGTAAATGGAAAATTAAAATTCATTAGACACATGGAGAGAATCAACAGCATGAAAGAGGAGAACAAGGCAAGCAAATGCCCCCAGTGAACTACTTCAGGAGAGAGGGAGAATTTTTTTAAAGTCTGCCTGATTTCCTAGTAAGACTCAAGAAGACAGTGCTTGAGTAGACTGCTATGAGCAAAGACCACTCAGGACTAGAATGATCTTGGAAATTAAAAACATGACTAGTGAAGTAAAAACTCAAAAGAATCATATAAATAGCAGAACTGACTGCTGAAAAGCCAATTGGTGCCTTAGAAGACTAATGCCTTCAAAACACTAAGAGGGAATTAGAGACATGAAGAGTGTGAAAAGATTTACCATGCATAAAGTGGGAACTCCAGAATAAGAAAATGCAGTGGAATTGGGGGAAGAACACCAAAATTAATCACAGAAGCCAAAGAAAAACTTGAATCTTCAGATCAAAGGACTCAGACTCAGATTTCTGAATTCCAAGGGTAAAGGTAAAAATGATACAAAAGGCAAACATCTTACAGACAGAAAAGAAAAGGTTACCTACAGAAAAAAGAGAATCAGACTGGTAGCACACTTATCTGAAAAACAAAATGCTGAATATTGTGTTAGGGGAAAAAGAAAGGCATTTTCAGAATAGAAAGGTGTAGAAATTGTACTACTGATGTATTATTCCTGAAAAAAAAACAACACATTGTTTGAAGAAGTATTCCAAACAGAAACTAATAACTAAAAAAAAAATTAGATGTGTAATGCAAGAAACCGTGTGCAGTAAAGCAAAGAAAACAGTAAAAGTATATAAAGAATTCTAAATAACTGTGGATTATGAAATGGAGTATTCATTAAGAAAAAAAAAGCTTAATTTGGACTAAAATTTGAGATCACTTCTAGAGTAAGATAAACACACATTAAACAAAATCTGTTACAAATAAAGAATCTGACAAAACCATAATCGTAGTGGCAGAACAGTAAACTGTTTTGAAGGTTTCAGTCATACAGAGAAAACAAATTTATAGAGGTTACGAGGCATAGATGACAAGCCTGGCCGCACTGCCGCAAAGGCAAGGTCGAGCCCGTCAGATGGCGCCTCCTTCCAAATGGCCAGCATTTTAAAAACTTGATCATGCATGAGCAAGGCCACAAAAATCAGAACGTTCCAGGAACAGTCTCCGCGTACAACGCACAGGAAACAGTTGCAAGATAACAAAGAAGAAACCCTTCACTACTTAGACATTTAAAGAAATGGGAAAAGTCCTATCGAATCCAATTAAGAAAAAAAGAAAGCACAAATATACAGCACTGGGTAAAAGTAGGTTTACAGTTATAATGCAAATAAATAATAAGATAATTAATAAATAATAACAAGAAAAAACTATGTTTCACATATTCGTAACTGTAAACCTACTTTTGCCCACCCCTGTACAAAGTTAGGAACTAAAAGAGAGATATAACCAAAGTTTGGAGATTTAAAAGGCAGTGGGGTCTGCTGTGTACAACATTATGCCAACTCAAAGATGGAATGAATATTTTTATAGGAAAATATAAATCAATAAAACCATATCAAAAACTTATTAATAAATCAAAAAGCTTACAAGTACTACAGGCCCTATGTTTCACAGATGAGTCTTATCAAATCTTCGAGGAGCAGAAAATACCTACATATTCTTTAATTTTCCCAAGAATAGTAAAAGGTAGTCATCTTTCCAATTCATTTTCTGAGAGATAAATAACCCTGCTATTAAAACTGTCAAAGAGAATATAAAACTATAGTAATTGCAGCATAGAAACAAGATGAATGATGGGCCAGAGCCAGGAGGAGCTAAGTGGGGATTTGGTGTATGACAAAGCAGACATTCCAAATTGAGCGATAAAATGGTGCATTACTCCATAAATGATTATGGGAAAATTGGCTCTCCTTTTGGGGCTAAAAAAAACAAAGTCAGATCCCTATCTCAAAGTATAAGTCAAAATAAATTCCCTTGGTGTTACAGACATAAATATAAGCAATAACCCCCTCAAACTAAACATTACTATAAGAAGACACAGGTATGGGAGAAGGCTTCTTCCTTAGCATGACATCCAAGGCAAGAAATCCATAAAGGGAAATATCACTTATTTAGCTACCTTAATTCTTAAAATTTCTGCATGAGTTCCAAAGGGAAATTTGTAAAAAATTCAAATTGCATTTACCCTTTGATGCAGTAATTCCAAGCTTAGAGAATTTACTTTCACATATACTCAGCACCTGTGCAAAGACTTAGGTACACAGATATTCATTTTGACACTCTTTGTAGTAAAGAAAACCTGGACACAACCCAAATGTCTAAAAATCATGTGCTGATTAGAAAGCTAGAGTAAATTCATTCAATAATGCTAGGTAGCCATTAAAGAGAATTAGGTTTAGCTATGGAAAGATGCTCCCCAAAAGTAAAGAAATAACTTGTAATTCACTGAGCATGACATGATCCCATTTATATTTTTCAATAATAAGACTGTAGATATGCTGAGAAAACTTTTTCAATGTGTGTAAACATAACAGTGCTATATGTCTGGAGAGTGGTTGTTGGGTAAAATCTGAGTAAGAAAAGCAAGGCTGGAGAGAAACATTTATATTTTACTTGATGCGATAGTTTGTTTCAAGATATATTTATTTTAAATTAGTATGGCACAGGATACCACAAATAGAGCAAAGTGAAAGGCTAAGCTGTTTGGACATTTACAACATGACAAATGGGTCACAGCCTTAGTATGTCATCAGCTGTTACAAATCCTTAAGGAAAAGATGGGAAATAAAGAGGATGATGCCTATTTTAAATGATCAGTTTTAGAAGTGATCTGTTTTATTTATCATACCTTTCCCCCTACCATTTATGTTATTTTGGTGAGGAGGGAGTCTTGTGTTACGTTACCTACTAAGGCAGTATACACAGTCTTTCTGCTAAGACACGAGATGGGTTTCAACGCCACGGAATGGTACCAAGTTCGGTCATTCTCCAATCTCACAGCAAAGGCACGGAGACGGGCACCTCTCACAGCTGTTATGCTCCTGGGAGCAGCCACAGTCCCTCCTGCCTCACCTCATGCTCCCTCTCATACACACCACACACACCCTAGCTCCCTTTAACACACACCACACATACACTGAGTCTCTTTAACACGCACCACACACACGAACACACCAGTTCCCTCTAACACACATACACACCCCAGCACCATCTTTCACACACTAGCTCCCTCTAACACCACCCACATACACACACATACACACGGTTCAATATTGGGCCTTATCCTAGTTTAGGGGAAAAGGGTTATTACTCTAAAGAAATGGTACGCAGATTTAGAAATGACTCAGAAGATCTGTATATAAACGAGACTGCAGAAAGGTGTCCGTTCTTGTGACCAAGGACATGGGTGCCAATTCAAGTTGGCACTGGTTGGCAGGAGAGCAGAGGGGTCACCCTGTCTCTCTACAGCTACTCCTAGGAATCCTCACACTGCAACGCCTGCACCAGAGACCCCCTTTCAAAAGAAAGGAGTGGCTAGGGTCATGTTCACCCACCTGATTCTTCCCTTTTAAACAACATAAACATTGGGAGAAAGAAAGTTTGCTTTAAAAATAAGCTGTATGTACGGAGAATTTGGCATTAAAGAAAGCTGTCAAGTACCCTGAACCTCAACTTGGTAAAGTACTGATTCTGAATAATGCTTGTGAATGGGCGTAACAAGTAGAAAACTCATACAATTCACAGTTCTTATTTCTGTTATTAATTGTAATTCAGACAATAAATAGTTATTGAGAACCCACTAAATGCCAGGCATTGTGCTAAGTATTTTGAAACAAACACTGTGGATTATTTTCTTTTAAAAACTGCCTATTATTAAAACATAATGCATTTGTGTTGTAGACATAGGTGTGAAAGAGACACCCTAATATTTTAATAAACAAACAACACTCGTGAGGATTTTCATTTGAGCTAACAAATCCTTTTTGACAATAAATAGGCTTATAGGTAATGAATTTGCTAGTAGTTTGTTTCCTTCCTAGATAAGACACACAGTATGTTTAAGAGCACGTATTTAGAGGAGGGTTAGATAATATTAATCTATTAGGAATTAGTCCTAAGAAGCGTCAGAGTCACCCTACAATGGCCTCCAAGGTAAAAGCTTTAGCTCGGATCCAACACAGCAGAGCCACGCCGCTGCCTGGAGGCGCCCGGAGCGCCGGCAAGCCCCTGAATGCTGAGCTACTTACAGCGAAAGGGTGGTAGGGGGGAGCGGGGGGAGCTCCTCGGGGCCCTGCTGGTGGAGGCAGCACGGACAGTCCTGTTGAAAAGATGCCAAGTGCGCTGAGGTTCAACCCCGGGATCAGATTGGCTTGTTGCTGGGAACAGAAATGGAGAAAAAGATGAGGGGAGACGACCGGCGTCCCAGCTTGCCTGGGTCAACCTCCATCTCGGGTCTGGATGGCGCCAGTGACTCCTGATGAGCTCCGCCCTGGCCCTGGGGCCCGCCCCCAGCACCGCTGCTGCCGGGGTGGGCTCTCCAACCTCGCCTCGACCTCGGTGTTCCTCCGAAGGTCCTCTGCCACCTTTGGGAGTGCCTGCACGCCTCAACAGCAAACGAGGCTCTTCCTGGGGACCCAGGCGCCTCACCAGCCTCTCTCCTGCTAACCCCTCTGCCCCAACCTGCCCAGCCTGTTCCTCTCTCACCTCTGGGCTGCTGGGCCCTTTGTCCACCTTGCAAGGAATGTCCTTCTCTCCCTCCTCACCTCACCTGAGCTTAGGTGTCTTCTTATCTAGGAAGCCTTCTGTCACCCCAAAGGTTTCAGCTTAAATGCGCTTTCTGTCCTCACCTAACAATCTGATGTTTCCGTAAAAGAGCGCTCGGCCCGCGGTATGCGGATCACCTGTGCAGGTGCCGCTCCCCGTCAGACCACGATTTCCTTGTGGACAGAGCCCATCTGACTTCGTGTTGCGTGCTCAGTGCCTGGTACGTAGTAAGTACTCAATAAATATTTGTTGAATGGGTACGTTTTAAACATATTGGATTACTAGTCTTTTCCAACTCTATCCAGGGAAAGAGCAGACCCTTCGCTAGGACACCACATATGTGATCTCCATTTTCCAGATTCAGGACAGTTCACAACTCTGGCTCTTGCAGCATTCACTTGCCAGCTTCGTGATCACCTTGCTGGTTTATTTCACATTTAAACATGGGGATGCTCACATAGGCTAAAGGCAAGGTGGGTTTTTTCCAGACTTTAACAGTTTTTTTGATGAAAGTTGCGTTATAAGGTTACCTTATTCTTGCACCTTCTTGTTTCTTCCTTGTATTTGCCCTTCTCTGTTCCTACGTGAGATGTGGTTTTACGTTCCAGGATCTTTTAGTCTTGTAATCACCACCTTGCTGGGGTGAATGCCCACATGGACAGTTGTCCCATTAGCTTTCTCCTGTTGCACTAGTTCGATGCAGATGACATGTTTCTTTTTGTAAACCTGGACTCCTCTGCCAATTCGCTGCCCTTTGTAATGTCCTTGCACAACCTGAATTTCATTATCCTCTCAGAGGAGCCTAAATTGAACATTGTACTTCTGTCTCAGCTCTTCTGAGAGAGAAGACATGATCTTCCTCTGAACGGGGGAAGGTGCATCAAAATGCTTTCTGCAGTTCTTGTTCTGGTCAGAAACCAGAAGGGATGGGACTTCATTTTGGCCACTGGTGCTTAGCAATGGCCGCAAAAGGGATGGAGGTGATGTGTAACTACACAGCCCTTCCGAGGCAGAGAGGTGCAGTCACCCATTCTGGCCTGTGTCCAACCTTCCCCAACCTCCGTCTCCCCAGACCTCTTCTGTTTTTTTAATCTGTGGCTAGGGTCACCTAGTAACTTGCCCTCCTTTAGAATGTTTGGAATAGTAGGGCCAGGATCCTTAACCTTTACCCACTGTGATATATTCACCTACCAAAGTGTGATTTTGGTACAGACATGAATGAATCTAAGCGACAGGCTCAGGTGAAGATGATTGGACACCCAGACCCCTCTGTAGAAAGAGATTTAGCATAAGATGTCAAGAGCCCAAAAGAAGATGATCAGATCGTTGGATGATACTTTCACAGACAAGTACATGCAGATGGGGAGAGCAGGTCACACTGGAGTCTTCTCCTCATCATGTCTCATAAATGCCACGTGATGTGGGCCACCCAGGTGGGAGATACAGTACTGGCCTGAGTAAGAGGGTAGGCGCTGCGGCATGTGCTGCAGTAAGGGAACTGGGTTTATCCTGCATAGCTCTCTGTCAGCATTTATTCCTCCGTGAAATGATACCAGGTCTGGGATTTGCTACAGGACATCCAAGGGGGGGGCGGGAGGGGGTGAACTGGATGATGGTTCAGATGAAACAAAACAGATTTTTAAGATTTCTGATGCTGGACCAGATAGCAATAACAGGAAGGATAAACCCAAGTCAGTCTGTTAGCAGTATTAGAACCGAGGTGGTCGACAATATTTATAGGGTCATCTAGAAGCAGATCAGTGAGCAGGAGATAAAAATCAGAAGTTAATTTAAAAGTATTTAATTTTAAAATTGGAAAGTGAAAAAAGAATCCTACTTTCCTAACATACCAGCTATTTTTCTTTTATATGTAGCCTTCCAGCCATTTTGATCCATATTATTTTACATAACTATAATCCTAGTTATATACACTTTTACATATTATTCTCTCAGTTGACATTTTATCATAGACAATTCCTCATTTTAAAATTTTAAAATCTTCAAAGTTATGATTTTAATGGTTTCACACTATTTTGTCCAGTGCATTTATCATAATTTACTAGTTGGTCTCCTGATTACTTTAATGCCCGTGCTCCAAGAAGGCAGGAATAACTCTGCATACCTATTTCAAGGTGTTTCTTCACTATCTGAATGACAAACTATTCCTAGAGAGGCTTGGGTTCTCCTGAAAACACACGTGAAAACCAGCAGAAGAAAGCATCAGGCACTTACATTAACAGCCAGCATATCATTCTCAAAGGCCTCCCGTAGCTTCTTCATAATCTCTATCTCCGCGTTGGCACAGGCCTCGACTGTGCCCTTCACAGTGATGGTCCTTTCGGGGTTGTATATGCTCAAATCCTGCAGGCTGGCCACCAGGAGAAAAAGAGAAATTTTCTTTTTTCAAAAGGAAAAACATATCCCAGAGGATCACAAACAAGTCTTGGTGGAGAAGGCAGGGAGAAGACTGGATTTCCTTATCAGATTCTGTGACACAGAATACCTGCTACTTTATCTGAAATCTTGGTAGTGATTTAGATCATCTCTGTAGTAAAATGCATTTGGTAACTATTTATGTATTTGTTTTTCCGGTTTTGGAGATAATTATGTCACTTATAATTACATTCCCATTTTAGAGAGAAGCAGATGAAAATGCTTAAAATCTCCATTACTGGGCACAATGAATCTGAATGAGTAGCTTACGATGAGATCGTTATCTTGGTCCCAGTCTCATGTTCAATTTTCTTCAAATTTCTGCCTTCTTTTCCAATAAGTCTTCCAACCAAGCCATTGTGGGCCAAGATTTTCAGAGGAATCTCTTCGGCTCTAAAAGAGACAATCAACAATTTAACATTTAAAGTGGACACAGTGGTTGCTGCCCAAGAGTTATTACCCTGTTTTTTCCCTTACAAATAGAAGCCGTTTTGTTTAGGTACCAAGTGGTGATGGACTTAAGACGATGACTTCCTTACTAACCCCAGTGCATGAATTCTCATCAACATAAGCCAAGTCATTATAATTATACTCCCCTGTTGTGACTGGTTGGGAATAAGTCCATGAGGTAGAAATGGCCAATAAGGCATAAGCAGCACTCTGCTGGGTGACTTTAGGAAGATTTTCCTTGCTCTTAAAAAGGAACAAAGGTTATGACATTAGTCAGCTGACAGACTTGAAAACTTCAGGTCCTCTTATCCCCACAGAGATACCAAGTTAATAACAACAGAGAGGTCAAAATACCTCTGTGAGGACCCTAGAGAGCAGCTGAGAAGCTATAGCATCCTGGCTATTATAAAACCAAAAAGGGATTCCAGAAAAAGGGGAAGGAAAATTGTAGTATTTGGTAAGCCTGTTCATGCTCTTTTCCCTGCAGAGCATAGCCAGGAGCAACTGAGAAGCAATTCTTCATACCAAGGCTCCTCTCTTTAAAACAAAACAAAACAAAACAAAACAAAACAAGACTGGACGATGAGTCCAACACTCTGGCTTGTCTGGGGGCTGCCCAAGAGATTGGTTTCTGTTTCTCCTGATACGGAGTGCCGATGAGACTGGCTCCTGAGTTTGGAAGGTGCTGAAAACAGAGGTAAAGATTGTGTTAGAGCTGCAGTTACACAGTCAGAAGCCAGGAGAAGAAAGAGGTTAAAGAAGGTTTAAGAGATCTAGAACCTGCAGCCCAAGCTGATTAGTGAAGTTCTTCCCCAGAAAGAAGCCAGTATGCAAAGACTGAGAGGTGGTTGTTTTTTTTAAATGCCTAAATCCCAGTGAAAAAATTACAAGGAATAAAAAGAAATAGAGAAACATGGACCATTCAAAGAATCAAAATTAAATTCCAGAAACTGACCCTAAAGAAATGCAGACATATGAACTATTTGACAAAGAATGTAAAATAACTGTCATAAACATACTCAATGACCTAAAAGAGAACAAGACAACTAAATGAAATCAGAAAAATGACGTGAACAAAAGAATAAAAAATGAGACAGAAACTATAAAAAACAACCTAACAAATGATAAAGCTAAAGACTGCAAGAACTGAACTAAAAATTTCACTTAAAAGGTTCAACAACAGACATAAACAGGCAAAATAAAATATCTGCAAACTTGAAGACTGGTCATTTGAAATCATCAAGTCAGAGGAGAAAAAAGATGCAGAAAAGCAAAGAGCGGCTAAGAGACTTTTGGGATACTCTAAAGTGGATCAATATACATATCACAGGAATTCGTAAGGAGAAGAGAGTGAAGGAGTGAAGAGCTTACTTGAAAAAATAATGATGGAAAACTTTCCAAATCTAAGGAAGGAAATAGATATATAGATTAAAGAAGCTCAAGATTCTCTAACTAGGATAAATCCAAAAGAACCACACTGAGATATACTAGAACCCCAATGTCTAAAGGGAAAAAAAGGACAATCTAAAAAAAAATATTCTATTTATTTATTTTTGAGAGAGGGGAAGGGAGGGAGAAAGAGAGGGAGAGAAAAACTGATGTGTAAAAGAAACATCAATCAGATGCCTCTCACATGCCCCCAACTGGGGACTGGCCCACAACCCAGGCATGTGCCCCAACTGGGAATTGAACTGGTGAACTTTCAATTTGCAGGCTGGTGCTCAATTCACTGAGCCACACCAACCAGGGCACAAAAACAATCTTGATAGCAGCAAGATAAAAGTGATTAGTAACATACCCAGGAGTTTCCATATTATCGGTGGATTTCTCAGCAGAAATTTTGCAGGCCAGAAGAGAGTGGGATGATATATTCAAACTGCTAAAAGAAAAAACTGTCAACCAGGAATACTGTATCTGGCAAACTGTCCTTCGAAAATGAAGGAGAAATTAAGACTTTCCCAGATAAACAAAAGCTGAGGGAGTTCATTACTACTAGAACAGCTCTACAAGAAACGCTGAAGGGAATCCTTTAAGTTGAAATGAAAGGACAGTAGACAGCAACACAAAGCCATATGAAAATATAAGATTCTCTAATAAAATATACAAATAGAGTAACCTGCACTACAGTAACTTTGATGCATAAAATTTAAATGACAAAAACAAAAGAGGTAAATCTATGTTAATGGGTATATAATACATAAAAAATTAATTTGTAACATCAATAACAAAGTAAAGATAGAAGAAAGTGTAAGGGGGATAAATGGTGATGGAAGGAGACTTGACTTGGGGTGGTGAACACATAATACAATATACAAATGATGTATTATAGAAATATACACCTATATCATTTTATTAACCAAAGTCACCCTAATATTCGATTCAAAAAAGCAGAGGGTGTAGTTGTAAAGGAGTAGAGTTCCTAATGCAATTGAAGTTAAGTTGTTATTAGTTCAAAATAGAAGGTTATAATTTTAAGACATCTTATATAACTGCAGACAGACAGACAGACACACACACAGACACACACATACACCCCTTACAGAATATGCATAAAAGGAAATGAAATGGAATCAAATAATATCACTAAAAAACACCCAGAAACAATGACACAAAGGAAAGCAATAACAAAGGAAAGGAGGGACAATAAAGCTGCAAGACACAGAAAACCAATGAAGAAAATGGCAATTTTCAGTCCTTCCCTATTAGTATTCACTTTAAATGCTATGGGATAAAACTCACCAATCAAAACAAAGCTGAATGGATTAAAAAGCAAAATAAAAAGAATCTCAAATCAATAATTCTATACCTCAAGAAATTAGAAAAAGAATAAACTAAACCCAAACCAACATAAGGAAAGAAATAATAAAGATTAGAATGGAAATGAGCAAAATAGGGAAGAGAAAAACAGGAAAAATCAATAGAACCAAGAGTTTGTTTCTATGAAATGATCAACAAAATTGACAACTCAGCAAGATGAACTAAGAAAAAAGAGAGAATACTCATATAAAATCAGAAAATAAAAGAGAAGACATTAAAACTGATGCCACAGAAATAAAAATGATTGTAAGAGAATACTATGAACAGTTATACACCAACAAACTGTATAACTTAGAAGAAATAAATAAATAAATTACTAGAAACACACTAACTACTAAGATCAAAACATGAACAGAAAATCTGAACAGACAAATAATGAGAAAGGAAACTGAATGAATAATCAAAAACCTCCCAGCATGGAAATGCCCAGGTCAGATGACTAAAATCAATCCTTCTCCACCTCTTCCAAGACTGAAGATGGGTAAATACTTCCAACTTCATTTTATGAGGCCAGCTTTACTCGAATGGTAAAGTCAAACAAGGCACTTCAACAAAAACAAAACAAAAAACTACTGACCTATATTCCTAACGAGAACGTTGATGCAAAAAATACTTTTAAAATTACCAGCAAATTGAATTTGAGAGCATGTAAGAAGGATTACACACGACGACCAGGTAGGATGTACTCCTGGAATGCCAGGATAGTTCAATGTCTAAAATCAGTCAATGTAATACACCACATTAACAAAATGAGAAACAAAAACCACATGACCACCTCAATTGATAGAGAATAAGCATTTGATAAAATTTAACATCTTTTCATGATAAAAACACTCAACAATCTAGGAATAGAATAAAACTACCTCAACATAATAAACATCACTTGTGAAAACCCCACAATGAACTTAATATTCAATAGTGAAAGACTGAAAGCTTTTCTTCTAAGATCAGGAACAAACCAAGGACGCCTGCACCACTTCTATTCAACATAGTAGTGCATGTCCTGGCCAGAGCAATTAGTTAAGGAAAAGAAATAAAAGTGTCTAAATTGGAAAGGAAGAAGTAAAATTATCTCTATTCACATGATCTTGTATGTTAAAAACCCTAAAGATTCCACAAAAAACTATTAGAATACACTAATTCAACAATGCCATGGGATGCATAATAACACACACAACTCAGTTGTATTTCTATCCACTAAAAATAAACGATCTGAAAAACAAATTAAACAATCACCATCATAAAGAAAAAAATATTTAGGAATAAACCTAACCAAGGAAGTAAAGGTCTTATACACCGAAACTACAAAACACTGCTGAAAGAAATAAAAGACAACAGAAAACAATGGAAAGATATCCTACATTCATGGACTGGAAGACTTAATATTGTTCAGATGTCCATCCTACCAAAAGTGATCTACAGATGCAATGCAATCTGTCAAAATCCCAGGGGCAATTTTTGCAGAAATAGAAAGATTCATTCTAAAATTTAGATGGAATTTCAAGGGACCTTCAATAGTCAAAACAATTCTGAAAAAGAACAGCGTTGGAAAAGTCATGTGTCCTGATTTCAAAACATATTACAAAGCCATCGTAATCAAAACTATGATATTGGAATCAAAACAGACAAATAAACCAATGGAATAGAATAGAGATCCTAGAAATAAACCCTCACATATATGGTCATATGATCTTTGATAAGAGTGCGAAGGTGACCGAATGGGGAAGAGACAGTCTCTTCAACAAGCAGTGTTGGGAAAACTGGATATGCTTAAGCAAAAAAAATGAGGCTGGACTCTTATCTTACTCCATATACAAAAATTAAAATGTTTTAAAGACCTAAATGTAAAACTTAAAACTATAATATTCCTAGAAAAAACACAGGGGGAAGTTTCATGACACTGGACTTTGCAATGGTTTCTTTTATTAAAAAAAATTATTTATTGACTTTTAGAGAGAGAGAGAGATACTGATTTGTTGTTCCACTTATTTATGCATTCACTGGTTGATTCTAGTATGTACTCTGAATGGGGACTAAACCCGCAACCTTGGCGTATTGGGACAGTGCTTTAACCAACTGAGCTACCCAGCCAGGGCCTCAGTGGTTGATTTTTATACATGTGCTGATGAGAGAGAGAACCTGCGACTTTGATGTATCCAGATGGTGTTCTAACCAACTGAGCTACTTGGCCAGGACCTGCAATGGTTGCTTGGATATAACACCAAAGCATGGGCAATGAAAAGCAAAAATAAACAGAACTACATCAAACTTAAAAACTTTTCTGCATCAAAAAACATAACTGACAGTGAAAACACAGTCTATGGAATCAAAGAAAATATTTGCAAATTATATATCTGATAGGGGATTAACATCCAAACTATATAAAAAACTCTTACACTGAACAATAAAACAATAAAATAACCTATTTAAAAAATGTGCAAGGGCCCTGGCTGGTGTGGCTCAGTGGATTGACTGCTGGCTTGCGAACCAAAGGGTCACCGGTTTGATTCCCAGTCAGGGCACATGCCTGGGTTGCGGGTCATGTCCCCAGCAGGGGGCACGCAAAAGGCAACCGCACATGGATGTTTCTCTCCCTCTCTTTCTCCTCCCTTCCCCTTTCTCTTAAAAAAAAAATATGCAAGGGACTTGATAGACATTTCTCCAAAACTGATCTGCAAATGCCAAAAAGCATAAAAAAGATATTCAACATGACCATCATAAAAGAAATGCAAACAAAAACCACAGGAGGTACTGCGAATACAAAATATTGCCTCACACCCATTAGTTTGGCTACTATCAAAATAACAGAAAATAACAAGTTTTTTTGCTGGTGAGAATGTGGAGAAATTGGAACCCTTGTGCACTGTTGGTAGGATTGTACGATGGTGTAAGTGCTATGGAAAATGGTATGGCGGCTTCACAAAAATAATTAAAATAGAACCACCATATGATCCAGCAATTCATTCTGGGTACATGTCCAAAAGAATTAGAAGCAGGGTCTCAAAGAGATCTGCACATCCATGTTAATAACAGCACTTCACAATGGCCAAGAGGTGAAAGCAACCCAAATTCATCAATGGATGAATGAATAAACAAAATGTGGTCTATACATACGATGAAACATTATGCAGCCCTAAAAAGGAAGGACATCCTGTCTCATGCTACAACATAGATGAATCTTGAGGATATCATGTAAAGTGAAATAAGCCAGTCACAAAAAACCAAATACTGTATGATTCCACTTTTCTGAGTTCTCTAAAGTAGTCAAAGTCATAGAAACAAAAAGTAGAACAGTAGCTACCAGAGGTTGAAGGGAGAGGGAAAAGGGGATTGGTTATTTAACTGGTATAGAGTTTCAGTTTTGCAAGATGAGAAAGATCTGGAGACCTGTTTCACAACAATGTGAATGTATTTAACACTACTGAACTGTACACTTAAAAATGGTTAAGACAGTAAATCTTATGTTATGTTTTTTACCACAATGAAAAAAAAAAAAAAAGAACAAGAAAAAGATGCCTTCTCTGTCAACTTTTGAATGCTATTCTGTGGAGACACAGGTCTGAAACCACTACAGCCATCCTGTCATCGCCAGGAAAGCATCGGACACTCCGAAGAAGGTAAAACAGAGAGAGAAGTCACGGGTCTTTGAGTCCATGATTCAACTGATCTTGGAGTTACTCTATCTTGGCACTCCTTATTATGTGGCATAATAATTGTTTCTTATCGCTTAAGCTGCTTATGTTTTCTGTTATTGAAATCAAAAGCATCTAACAGATGCATTGCTACTGCCTTAAAATAAACGGATGTAATTTGGGAGGGCAGGGTTTTTTTTGTTTGTTGGTTTTGTTTGTCAGCTTTGTTGAACGGCACATAGAACAGTGCCTGACACATAGTAATATTTGGTAAATGAATAAAAGAAAGTTTAGGATCCCTTTTTCCCCTACATCTTCCACCTCCTACTCGTCCCCCTCAGGGCCTTCATACAGAGCCTTTACACAGGGAAGCCTTCTCTGAGACCCCCAAATCTCCTGCTGTCCCCTAAAACCTTGATTAGGGCCTCCAGTAATAAGCAGTCGTTTCTCACTGTCAGCACTTTCCGGAGCTGTGCTTAGCTACACACTGGTGGAACCTCTTGTTCAGTGGATGTCTCCCACAGGACCACGGGCTCCATGAAAGCAGGAACTGGGTCTCGTTCATGACTAGCCTCAACCCCCAGCACAGTGCTTAACACAGTGTGCGCTCAAAAAATTTATTTCAAAGATATTCACACTCTATTCTGGCTCTACACGAAAACTTAAAACTCCAATTTATAAATCAGTCTTTTTGATTATTTAGACTATTGAAAGTTGCTTGTACCTAGGCTGAAGGACCGAAGAGGGTGTTATTTGTAAAGTTTTCAATCACTTGGGTGAGAGAGGGGCTTCTTCAAATTAAGCCGTGGCATTTGGGTGGGTTTCAAAAGCCCTAAATAGAGTAAATAATTCGTAAGTGAAAGGTTAGAGTCTTTTATGAAACCTGAGAATAGATTTGTGATGTTTTTCTTTTCAGGACTACTTTCATGCTTTTGATTTTGGAGCACTCTTATTTGACATTATTTGCTGAATTAATTATATATTCACTTCATCCCTCAGTGCTTCTCTATAACGCTACCACCAATGCCTGTAAGTAGATTTTGCCGATCTGACATAGAACCTTTTCTTATTATAATCTACTCCATTACCATTAATTCATTTGTAATACAAAGAAAGCTGCTTTTGTAAGGAGTATATTTGCTCTTCAAATTGGTACAATACTCAGGAATCCTGAAAAGTATTTTGTAAAAGAAAAGAAGGTGAAGGACATAGAAGGAAATAAAAAGGAAGAAGGAAAAAGTAGCCACTTGGATACCAGTTTCTACTACTAAAGGAAATGTAATCCAGTTTCTAAAGGGTGTAAGTGGTTTAGGAGCAGGTGACAAAAACCTTTTCCAGAACAATAAATGATGGTTTTGATGACAATGTACTTCTCTACCTGCACTACCCAATGCATTAGCCATACATGCGATTGTTCAAATTTCAATAAATTTAAAAAAAAAATCAGTTTTTATGTTGCACTAGTCACATTTCATGCACTCAATACTACCACATGGCAGGTAGCTATTGTACGGAATGGTGCAGACATCGAACATTTCCATCGCTGCATGACATTGGACAGCACGGGTCTCGGTGTTCCTACCTGTAATTATTACCAGTGAGTGACGAAAGCATTAGATCACCAGTAGAAATATACCGGTGGAGAAACAGCCATATTACAAATACACAAGATCTGTTTCCCACTGTATTCTCCTTGGAAACAAATTTCTTAAAAATTATCCTCCGCCCATCTTTTTGCTTAGTAATAGAGTTAGAGCTTGTCAAAAACACCTCAGGCTCAGTGAATGAGCACCTCCTCTGATTCTCTGTTGAATGGTCTGGACATTGCACACAAACTTACAGTTTGGTCTCGTCAGCTTCTTTCTGCATGATTTCAAGAATCATGCGGCATGCTTCAGAGGTCCCCTCTGGGGTGGCATGGATGGTGACGGGCTTCTCTGCAGCCCCCGAGTTTTCCTTCCTATGGATGTCTACCCTGTGGGAAAAGAATCAGGAGCCGTAGCACAACGTCATCTGGGACAGGATCCTAGTTAGTCCCGAGACAGCGCCGCACCAGCCAACGTACAGCAAGGACACAGACAGACAAGGAAGTGTCATCAGCACGTTTGCAACCAATGCCATTCTCCAAGAAGGCGGCAAGCAGTGTAGGGGGTCTTGTGCCAAACTTGAGTTCTTCGCAGCTCCATTTAGGAGGGAATATTTCAGACAGGCGTGCTGTGGGACAAAGGCACCCAGCCAACTTGGTAATGAAGTATTTTGTGTCGCCTTTCAAATGATCATAGAAGTGAAGAGTAAAGTGAGCTGGGTAATTCTGCACATTGGCACGGTGCCAATCTCTGAACTGATTGCAGTTTTTAAAAGCCATATGTTAATCCAAATCCAAACACCAAATTCAAGTGAGCTTTATATATTTGAGTGTGGACAGAAAACAGGCATGCCCTCTCTCTGCCTCTCTAAGTTTTGGTTTCCTAGCCACTGGCAGCCTGCCTTCTCCCAGGCACTTAAAGCTAATGGCTCAAAAGCTTGATGACTTGATCAGACTCCTTGGGGCAGTCGTGGCTCTACTTGTTTTTGTTAACTTTCAAAATCACATAATTAATTGTATCCCCTTTTACTCTGGCTGTTAGAAAGCCCAGATCCAAGTCTTTGGCCTACTTCTAAAAAATGGGCACACACTTTAAGAACTAACCTCACTTCTATTTAAATTTGTTGCACTTTTAAAACCACTTGAAACAATTTTTGGAAGAAAAAGACATATAAATAAAAATCACTTTCAGAGTGAAGCAAACTTGGGGGCGGGGAGGGCTGATTTTAAAATAAACAGATTGCCAGATAGTACTTCCTCTCTCTACTATCTCTTTATTTCATTCCTATGATTACGAACTCTGGGACTCAAATGAATTTCCATTATTTGGGAGTAACTCAGACACTTTAAGGAAAGTAGTGTTTTCTCTTTCTTGTTACAAGACACTTAATACATGGCCTGAATGAAATGCATTAGGGGTGTAAGTAACTAATGTTTGTCAGTTATTTAGTGCTTTGCAATGTACGTGCTTTCATCATAGTTATTACGTTCAATCTGCCTGACTGTCCTCATTCTCACAATAATCTTGATTTACAGATGAAGGAACTGATGCTCAGAGAGGTGAAAATCCAGATCATAAAGCCATTAAGTGGTAAAACATGAACATGGGTGTTTGTTTTGCAAGTCCTGTGACATCATGCTGTGGTCATATGAACATAAAAAAATCAACAACTCCACAAGTCATTTTACCACTACAATTCCTACTATTAGTTCAGTCTCCTTCAACAGACAGAAAACTAAATATAAGGCAAATGTATTTTTTTTCTTGCTGCATATAGCAGTGATTCACCCACTTCCTGTATATAGCTATTTGTGAGTCTACCTAGGTGGTCTCAAAAGAATGACTACCACCTAGCGTTCTGACTCAGCAGAGGAGGTACGAGTTAAGGTAAGTGGGTTCTAGGATCCCATAAAGCTCCATACTTCTCTTTTAGAAATAGATGCATTCATAAGCATTAGGTTGCTTACAAGAATAAATCTTGGCTGTGAGGTCATTAGTACCCTCTTTATGAACCTTTAGTATTTGGTGGGGGGGGGGGGGGGGTATAACCTTTAGGCAACTAGCAGGAAAGCTCATTAAAGCCCCGGGGTTTCTGTTAGTCTGTTAATAGTTCTGTTTAAAGAAGCCGCCATCCCATATAGCACAGCCCCCCACTGCTGATGCAAGCAATAGCCACTTGAGGATGGCTGGGACCCACCAGCGCTCAGGAGACCCCTCAGAAGGAAGCAAAGGAAGCCCCGGAGGCACGTACCGGGACTGGGTCTGCTTAGTGATGTTCTTTATGGTCAAGCCCTCCTTTCCGATGATGGCACCAACAAACTGGGTGGGGACCAGGATCCGAAGCGGGAAATCAATCTGTCTGGCCTGAGAAGAGCCCCCAGGGGCGTGGCCTTGCTCCCTGGAAGAGTGGTCCCCACGCTGGGCTCGCTGAGGGGGCGAAGGGGAGCTCACCTCTTCATCCGGGATGTAGGAAATCTTGAAGGAGTAGTTCTCAAACTGATGCCCGCTTAGCTTCTCGATGGCTCTGAAATGCAGCAGGAACAGCAGGCTTTGTTAGAGAGCAATGTCAGATCAGTGGATTCGTTCATTTATTCTTATTCACTGGTTGCCTATATGAACGCCCTTAATCCCCGCTGGGGATGCAGCGGTGGGCATGACAGACACTCTCTGCTCTCTCAGTGGTTGTCGCTAACAGTTAAACAATAATCACAACCTATAGGCCTAGTCAGACCTGATACGCAATTACGCATTCCACTTTTTTCTCTACCCAAGGCTCTCTCCCTCTAATCAAAGACCCTTTGTTAATATCCATATAAAATTATGACTCTTATTTTTATCATAATATATATTCATTATTGAAAATCAAGATGCAACTACAAATGAGAAAAAGCCCTAATATCTATATCTCTTATTTTTCTTAAATGTAAATATATTATTTATAAAAATAAATTAATGTCACACATTCTTCTTCTAACCTTTAAAAAATTGTAAATATACCAAACATTCTCCAAGTCATTAAATATCCTCCAATTTAACTTTTACTGGCTATTTAACATTCCATTGATTTACCATGTTTTTTGCAAATGATCCTCCATTGTTTTATATATACATGAGTGTATGTGTATACATATATGTATACATGCACACACATATATGTATATGTATGAATTCCAGTTTTTACTATTATATACAGTGTTGCCATGGGCATCTTTGCAACCACAACTTTGCACACAGGATAAATTCCTAGCGGAGTTGCTGGATCAGAGAGCATGAATTCTAACATTATTAAATATTACCCAGTGTCCTTCTGAAAAGGTTTCAATACTTACTACCCTATAGTAGTTAAGAGAGCATGTTTCCTTGAGTCCTCAAAAGCACAGAATATTATTACCTAAAAATATTCATTAATCTGATAGGGAATAAATAATATCCCACTATTGCATTTTACAAATTACACATGAAGTGGAATAATTTTTTTACATGTTCCCGGATGCATGTGAAAAGAATAACCCTATTATAATACTAGGTTAATGTTTAGGGTTTGTGAATTTCTTACAAAGCAGCACCTTTTGATTTCAATAAAAACAGCAAAGTAATATGTACAGAGGTCCTACCTACATGGAAGCTGGACCAGAACTGTAAAGGTGAGTTATTGGTATAGCTCCTGCATACACATGTGTGCAAAAGTTGTAACAAGTGAATTATTGCCTTTTTCAACACAAAATTAACTTTTTGAAAACTACCAGTATGAAAATGGGTTAAATTGTGTCTTCATGTGTGTTGAAACCTTGAAAAAGAAATAAATCTATAATCCTGGGACGTGTAACCAAGGCTATGCCCCATCCATACAGCATGACCACATGTGACCATTATTCTAGTGACGATCCCCTCATAGGCACTTCAAGAACCTCCTATAAAAAGGAACTTGTCTTTTTAAAAACCTCAATCCCATGTCTATTAATAGCCAGCTCAAAGTTAACCACTGCTGAAGCAATGCAGTCATGAATGGGGACAAGAAGTGAATGGGGCAGGAAAAAGAACCCAAGCAGGGCGCTCCATGATTAACCACTACCAGACACTTCTCCCTGCTGTTGATGTCACTGGGGTGGACTCCCTTTCATTATTACAGAGAGGAAAAATAGATGTTCTGGTATCCATTCAATTAGTGTGGATAAAAATCCACACTTCTTTATCCTGGTGCATGGAGGGAATTCCAAGTTAAAGCGGCTCCCAGTGGTTGGCAAAGCAGAGTTTAGGGGACACAGTGTCATGGAGCTGGTGCTCACTATTCCTGACCACATCAAGACACAGCCCCCACCTCGGCTTTGAGGCTGTAGCTCAACACTTTTTCAAGATAAAGTCTCTGCGCATCAACAAGCAGACATCCGGGTGTAAATGCCCAGGGGCTGAGTGACAGGGCAGAGAGCTGCATCTTTTCGGAAAAGGTTGATACACACAGGACTCAATGGAATTCAAAGATAACCCTCCAAAAAATGCGAAAGGAAGCCCAAAGCCACTTACGTTTTTGCTTCTTCTCTTGTTGCATACGTGACGTTGACAACGGCTGTTTCTGTGTCTGTGTTAACTAGGAAAGGAGGAAAAATTACACTGTCATAGGAAAACAGCTGTTGCCTTCTGGCTCAATGCAAACAGACTTACTTTAGAGAAAAAGGCACAAAAAAAAAATTCATTGCCCTAACTCTAGAGTTATTTGAATCTCTATCTTTATTCATGTGCATTCATAGTAATTTGTAACCAATTGTATATACACATTTGTAATCAATTGTATATATAACTCAAAGCTGTATTTTCACTTATTTTATAAACGCTTTTGCATGGGGTACATGTATATGTACATTTTCTTTGTATTTTTTAATATTTAATGCCTATATAAAATTGCAATAACTAACTGTGACATGATTTTTGCCTAACCATCCCTCCAATGTTGACAAATGGGCTGTTCCCAGTATTTGCTATTCTAGAAAGTGTTGCTGAAAACTACCTTTTTACAAACATCACGGATTTGAGTGCTTTTAAATTAGTTTTTTAGGCCAATCACAGAAGAAAAAATAAATGGGTAAAAGAACATAATACTTTTAATGTATATTTTCAAATTACTTTCCTAAAAGTTTGTATCAATTTATTGTACTGCTGTTATAAGTTTTATTTGTTATAATTTGCATTTAGTTTTAAATAATTGGAGAGATATATATTATATATATATGAAGAAGAAAGTATTTTAACATTAATTCTTCAGTCACTGATAAGATTGAATTACTACTTTTGCTTCTCTTTGAACTCCTTGGTTGTGTGAGTTAAACCTGACAAATGTGTACAATAAATAAAGAAAACTGATAATCCCAGCTCACTTAGCTAAAGGAGGGAACACACAGACTCTAAGTATGGGTAATAAGAAATCACTCTTGTGAAATGGCTTATCTTAGTTCAAAATTGCTTGCTTCTTCTCCCAAAGTCAGAAGTTAAAAATAAATTCAAAAGAGGCAAGATAAAACTTTCTCAATCCAATTCAGTAAACTTGAAGGAAAAATACTGATTTTTACCGAACAAGCTCACTTGATTAAATCAAACCCTTCCTTTAAAATGTTCAAGCTATTGAGAGAACTGGAGTTAACAACAACATTAAGTTAAGGATAATTCAAGAAAACCACAATAAAGCTACTTTTCAAAGTAGTAATAAAACCTTATAGTATAGGGTCTCTTAATCTTGAATCTATACTAGAGCTTTAAGAATTCTATAACCTGACCCTCCCCACCCCACCCAAAGATTCAAATTTGTGGATATATGAATTTTTCTGGTGTATAATTTCTATAAGATTCTTAAAAAGGTTAAAGACCACTGTTAAAAATTCTGTTTATCCGTTAACTTCAAAGCAGCCACCGCAGTTGCGGGGAGGGAATGTGTAATCCTGACAAGAGAACTGCCTCTACCTTCACACGTTATGAACATGAGTCCAGCCCCGGCCTTTGCCCAGGGCGTGCCCCACTGCTCTCTAATGCACACTCACCCAGAGAAGTTTTCCCAGCGCAAAACAGGGTGTGTAGCCATAACCGTCTACTCTCAGAGCTGCCGCACAGCATGCTAACGCGGTTTCCTCTTTGCTGCTTTCTAGGGCTGCAGATGAGGCTGCAGACTCCCGAGAGGGGAGAAAGGGCTGGGTTTGAACTTCCTGAATAAAGCTATTTACTTAGGAATCTCAGATTCAGCTAGTCTCCCTCCTTCGTCATATTCTCTGTTCTTAGAGATGTTTGTCTTCAAGGATTCACACAGTTCTTTGACTCTTGAAAGAACTGAGCTCCATTCAAATAACTTATTTCATTGGACATAAAAGCTTTATAAAGTTTCTTAAAAGTACTAAAAATGTTTTCTTGCTGACTCAGGAATCAACTAGGAAACAGAACAAAACAATAGCTCAACACTTCCATCCTGCAGTTGGGAGGCAGGTGGAAACCGCCCCAGGGACCTGACACGTTTCTTCCTCGGGTGCCATTGTCTTGACTTTATAACAGGGTCTTAGCTTTTATGGGTTCATGCCTGTAAGGCCATCTTGCCTCCTACACCCAATCCTGATCAGAATGTTTTCTTTTCTGTATTGAGGGAAATATGTAAGAAGAACCGAGAAATAAAATCTTTGTACATCATGTCCTCTTTCTGAGCTCTTTTCCTTCACTTTTGGGCATGGGCAGTCAGCAGCATGAAAGTGAATAATGACATTTTTAATATTCATGAAGTGAAGAACATCAGAATAATTACGACGTTAAAACTATTATGTTAGTAATCCTGGCAGATAGAACAGTTTGCGTATGTGAAAATGGGTTCTCTGTGATTTTTTCCTAAGTGCACCTTATCCCTGGAGACTATGCATGGCTCTACTGTCTACAAATACCTTACACAGATTCAGTGGGTACGGACTATTCAGTGATGTAAGAAGGGTAGAATTTATTCTTGCCCTTCTCCACATGTGGAAACTGAGTCAGTGAGGTTAAGTGACTTTTCCAAGGGTTCCCAGTAAGTGACTGAATTCACATTTTGCTTTTTGGGACAACACAAAAATAATCTTTATACATGTTACTGCCTGTCATATCAGGACTTGGAATCTACTTTGCTGGGACTCTTAAAGAGCTATATAAAACATCAGCAACACGTACCCATTTTTTTTCTTTTTAAAACCATGGTATTTCATGTTATAGGAGGTAAAAAATAAGGGCAGCAGAAGGATATGAAGGGGAACCCCACCAAAACCAGAATTACCTTTTAGAATATGGGCCCCATGTAGTGCAGGCTTCCCCTGCCAGGTGAGTGTTCCAGGAACCCATCTGTATCCGTGTACCAGCTGGTGTTGTGAGAGGCTGCATTTGACTTTGGCGAATTTCTTTTTTTTGAAGACTCTTAATGTATTTGCCTATTTCATGATGGGTTATTTATAATGAACATGTCTGACCACACCGTGCTGCATATTCAGCAGTTTTTGACCAAAGAAGGCCTGACCCCCGTGCCCCATTCTCCCTATTCAACCGATCTCGCCCCAAATGATTTTTTTGTTGTTGTTTCCCTGATTAAAAAAAGCCCTCAAAGGGAAACGTTTTGCTGATGTGGAAGAGGTCAAACAAAAAAACAGCAGAAGCACTAAAAGACATCAAAACCGATGTGTTCAAAAACTGTTTTGAGCAGTGGAAAAAACATCTCCATAGGTGTATTGCATCGAATGGAGAGTACTTGGAAGGTGACTGACGTTTAAACATGTAAGAATAAATACAATTTTTTATAAATAAATTCCGTTTGGGGGGGGGGTCACCCCTTGTATGTTTTTTCTGGGCATTTATAACATTATTCCCACGACAGCGGCTCTCAAACTTGAGTACACACAAAAATCACGTGGGAGTACTTGTATAAAATACAGATTCATAAACTCTTGCCCCAGAAAGTCTTACTTTGCAGGTCTGTGGAGAGCCCTAGGAATATGCATTTTTATAAGTGCTCCACGGTATTCTGGAGCAGAGTCTTACTCCTTAAGAAAAACTCACTCCAAGTTATTAGAGATCTGCTTTTCTTAGCCAGGAGGAAGAAAGTTGTAATAGTCTAAATCCAATAACTTCCATGTGAACTAGGCTTATCTCAGCCTGACAGTGTTTGTCCAGTACTTGAGCACACTACAGAATATTTAAAAATAGCCTGAAAAATTATATATTCTTTAAAAAACAAATTACGTAGCTGTGGATACACAAACACACCTCTCACACATAGATATACAAACATATACTCTTAACAGCCTGTTTCAAAGCAGTCTGAATTTACTATTTCTCCTAGGTGTTGTCCCAGCCTCTAAGAAATAACACAACATTCCCCTCAAAATTTGGTAAGCTAATTTCCTCACTTATTACCTTGTTCGACATTCTCCACTGTCCCATACTGAGCCAAAAGTCCATCCAATACCTGAAAGAGAGAGCTTCAGTGTCAGAATGGGAAAACAAGATTGGACTCACAAAAATGGCACACTGATTACCCCAAGCAAATGAATTACAGCAAAACAAGGACAGTTTTAGTAACATAATTAAATTGGTATTTCAGGTCTTCCACAAAAACAGTTAAAACTGAATAAATATGTGGGACTTTCATTTGCTTATTGGCTCCCAAAATATCTGTTCACTGAAATGACACCGCAGAATTTCAGAGCCTCAGTAACTTGTCAATCACATTCATCACAATGGTTGGAAGCTGTCTACTGCTCTTGAAATGCGAAAATGGAATAAAGTACAAGGCACTTCTCTTTGAAAACTTTTAACGTCTTCCTTTGGTTTTCTCCCAGGAATCTCCTTATTTTACAAAGCAACGGGGTGTGTATGTTTGACATTTTCCATAATAAAAAGGTTTTTTAAAAAAAAGTTATGAAAATATTAGACACAACATTCTCTTTCCTTTATGGTTATTTTGATTTTGTTTGGATTGGAGAAAAAAACACCAGGCAGTTTGTTTTCAAATAATGCAAGAAGGCCACTCCTCAGATTCTATCTTATTTTAAGGTAGCAGTCTTTTAAGAAGTTTTACAACTTGGAAAAACATATCTTAACTGTTATTCATAGCAATTAATTCAAACTAAACAAAAAAACCTGCTCAAACTAACAAAGAACCTCCTATTTTTATTGGCTTTCCATGGATTTTATTTTTTTAAATCATGATTTGGAAAGGTAAAAATGTTTTTACAAACTCCTAAGAGAAAAATCACAAACCAGGTACACATTGTGTTTCACAGTTTGTTGGTGCTTGAGAAGACAGAACCTGGGAGGTCGAAGTGCACATTCCACAGGCTGAAGGGGACAGATACGGCCTCAGGCTCATGACAGGCCATGCACATCACAGCACTGAAAACAGTGGGACAAGTCAGAGGACCTCTAGTTCCCAAATGTGAAAGGGAACTAAGACAGAGAAAAATGCCTTGTTAACCCATTGAAAAGGAAAGAAAGCAGGAAGACAGTAAAAACAGAAGCGACACTGGCTTACTTCCCACTGCAGGTGAGGAGGGATGTTTCGAATCTGAATTTTTCTGCTCCTGTAAAAAATAAAATCAGACTATTATATCTTCTCCAGGACACAAACTTAAATAAAAACAGGTTTAATTTGAGTTCACTTTCCCACTATGTTCACAGAGGAATCGGCAAGAGATTCCCATTGTGAATCATGACCATCATCTTTTAAGGTTTTCAATTACTTTGCAGAAAAAAAAATTAAAAAAAAAAAAAAATCCAAGAAGCCAGAACAAGCTAAACAGTTTGAATGCAGATTTGCCTCTCCAGTGTCCTACCACAGTGGTTAGAATTTAAATCGCCATACAGGTTCAAATTATAGAATTATCACCTTCCTCTTCAAAATGTATAGTCCTGCAACTGACCCTATTCCAAAAGATACCTAAGCTCAGATGTGATGGATGAAATCATATGTATAATGTGCTTAAACAAGATCAGGTTTAGTTTATCCCTTATCTAACAGTGCAAATCTTCTTTCTTAAAAAAATTACTTTTATTTTTGGATAAAACAGTCATAGTTCAAAAATTAGAATACTATAAAAAGATGCACTGAAGTCTTCCTCCCACTCACCCCCAGAAATAAACACTTTTCCTTGTTTCTTGTGTATCCTTCAGTTTTCTCCATGCAAATGATGGCAAATACAAAACTGAATCTTATTTTTTCCTTTTCCTGGAGAAATATTTGCATATTCTACATACTTGCTGCATTGTTTTTTCTCCCCAACTCATAGTAGCATCTTGGAGGTCTTTCTAGGTTGGTAGATACTGTCCTCATTCTATTTTATAACCTGAATGTATCAGTGTATTTAACCCACCTCTACTGCTGAACGTTTGGGCCTTCTGTTTTTTCATTCAGAGGATTTTTTTTTTGGTTTGTGTTTCCAGGATATCCTGCTGGTCTGATAACTGAATGATTTAGATGGTTTCTTGTTTTTACCTAAGCATTAAAATTAGATAGCTCTAACATGCATGAGAACATGTTAGATCCCGGAAAGAAAACACAAATCAGCATTTAAATATGAGAGAGATCATCTTAATGGAAGGGCTTCATGCTAAAATCCCAAAAACACCCATTGGGGGTTTGCAAGAGAAGGCATATGATGACACTTGTCCCTTCTTTCTGATGTCAAAGGTGACAAAGAGTGGCTATATGAGCCACATGTTTCTCCATGCTTTAACGTGGGCAATAGCTTCAGGAAGAAATGCAACCACTCCCACATGGAGGAAAAAGGAGAGAGAGAGAAAGAGGTACAAGATAGAGGAAATGGAGAAACAAACAATGAAATAAATGAGGGGCTCCAGTTTTTTCAGACCTTTATTGAAAAAGGGAGGCACCAATTGCATAGATCGCATACACTACTTGACTATGGCTGCTTAAATGGCTGGACAAGCCAGTATGTAGAACCTCTAATCTTTTATCAGGATAGGAGGGAAGAAGTAGAAATAATTTCCACCTCTATGCTATGAAGGCTCTATTCTGACATTGCTTTTGGCAAGGGTTCAGAGTAACACTGCTGACACCACCCGTACAGTGGCTGCACAGAATGTTCCATAGAAGATGTCACAAGCCTAACTATTTATAGGAAAAGCATCAGAATTTGCAAGAAAATTGAGTATTTCTAAAGAAAAATACTTTATCTCCAAGAATAAACATTGACTCTAACAGGTAACCAAGAATTTACTGGTAGAAATTCTACTGGAAGAAACTCATGCATGGACACAAAGAGATTTTGTGTCCACACTAACTCATGTTAAGACAGCAAACTCTGTGTGTAATAACAAAGACTGCAAAAACTTTAAATTGCTACCAACAGCGAGATGAATAATTCATTGTACAGCCATAATATGGAACATTATACAGCTGTTAAAAAGAAAAATGAAGACATATGTGCACTGTCATAAAGAATTCTGTAAAGCATAGCAACAAGAAAAGAGCTATTTATAGATTAAGTTGACCCTGTCTTCTGAGTACACAAAACAAAACTACATGTGTATATGTAAGTGCATGGAAAAAGGTAGCTACAAGCAGATTTGGTTGGTAAAAGGGGACATGTATGTTTTATTTGAGCTACTTCTGTCTTATTTGCTTTTTTTAAAAAATGAGAATGTATTCATGCTTTAATCTTACTTGCTTTAAAAAATAATTAAAAACTCCAACTAGCATTGCTTTAATGAATATAAAAGATTGAACCTCCTTAAGTAACAAAAAAGAAAAACCCAAACACCATTTTTTGCATAATTAGATTAGGCATTCTTCTTGAAATATTATTTGACAGATTATTAGTTGATTTGGCAAACCCTTTGTTCATAGTATATAAGTAGTCAAATTCTGCCCTGTCCAGATCATCCCAAATCCTAACTAAATGGGTCTAAAACCATGAGGTTTGCCTGTAATATCTCATGTAGAGACTGCACATTGGGCAATCAGTTCAGTAAGTAAATGGAATGTTCATTAAGCAGGATTCTAGGAGCAATCATCTCTAAAAAGCTGATCTGTAGCATCTCTAATCTTAGATCAGGACAGAGATGAAAAAGAACCTAGAACTAAAAAAGGGAAATGGCGATCACTACAGTACAACCTATTAAAGTGGAGCTCAATCAGGTCATTTGGGAGATCATGCTGAGATTATCGGTCAGGATCAGGAATGATCGGGATCTCTGAGATATGTGTGCTAACTCCCAAGGCATCCTTTGGATACCATGTCTTCTTGTCAGGGTACTCAGGACGCCTGGGAGGGACTTCTGCCCTTTGAAACCTAGCTCACACCTGCAGACACTTCCAGGAGGCAGAATTGTTTCTTCTGCACTAATTAGCCTTTACAAAGCAGCTTGTACTTTCATGTAATTATTTAGCTGATGACACTGCCCACCCCTCTGATTTCCTTAAGGGCAGGCTCCTTGTTTACAGTGTCCTGTGCAGCACAGGGTCAAGCATATGCAGCAGAAAGAGAACACAGACCCCAAGGCCTATGAAAAAGCCCTGCTATGGCTCGCTATTGTCGGTTTATGAGGAAGACCCCCCCAAAGCCACGCAGGAAGGTAAACTGTCTACTTTTCCTTTGCCAGGTAGTCAAGAGGAGAGGAAATGGAGTTCTTTTCCCTATTTCCTTTAGGAAAAAAGGAAAAATAAATAAATAAAGCAGTGTTCGGCTCAGTCTCTAACAACAAGTATGAGTCTCTCTTTGAAATCCATGAGTGTGCCCTGCTTTAAAAAAAAAAAAAAAAAGCCAAGTTTTTAGGAAACAAGTTAGGAAAGTAACTGTGTATAAGAAAATGACTACTTGTTCCTTTAAAAAAAAAAATAGAAAAATTTCACAGCTCCTTTATTTTAATAGAGAAATTAAGCTTCTCTAAATAGACATACATGATATTTCTCATCCTCAGAGCCCCGCGACTCTTGAGCCGTCCCCTGGCTGGGCTGTCTTCTGTTTTGCGACTCCCTCCTCTCTCCCAGCCATCCCACACTTGGCTGGCAGTGACTTTCTAAAGGCAAACAGAATGGGCTACTCCTGCCTTTAGTCAATGGCTCCCTATCACCACGCCCAAATTCCCTCTCCTGACCTGGTTACTGCCCCCTGTTCCATCTCTTTGTTGTTAAACAATTTTGCCCCATCAAACTGCTCAAACTTTGTGTGCTTACTCCACCAAAAATAGTTTCTTCTCTTACACTTTATGTGCATACCAGGTCTGAGCCTTCATTACTCTCCGTTATACCTTAAAAACAAGAATAAAGAGGGTAGTAGGGAGCATGGGTTTGATTTTTTTTTTTTCCATTTTAACTGAAAGCAGAATATTCTAGGCCCATGGTCAAGCAGAGGGTACCCCTTAGTGGGTATACAGACTCCTTCCCCATGGCTTTAGGCTTCAGGAACTCAGCATTTCCTGTCCTTGTATTCAAGTAGGCTAAGCCAAGCGTTTGGGTGGAAAAGTGCAAGAATCTCAGGCTCCACACTATCAGAAATAGGATAATCCAGTTGACCCTTGAGCAACATGGGTTTAAACTGCACAGGTCCACTTATATGGAGACTTCCTCCCCCCCACAATAAATATACAGTCAGACTTCTGTATCCCCAGATTTTGCATCTGTGAATTCAATCAACCACAGATCAAAAAACGTATTTTCGACCCATGGCTGGGGATCTGCGGATGCAGAGGGCTAACTGTATGCATTGTTCCAAGCCATTTTATATAAGGACTTGAGTATTCACAGACTTTGGTATTTGCAGGGATTCCTAGGACCAGTCCTCTACAGATAGCAAGGGACGACTGTAGTTAAGTTTTTGGTGAATAAAAGTTGTATGCAGTTTTTTGACTGGGTCCCTCCTGTCAAAAGTGTGGGCACCCAACCCCCGTGTTGTTCAAGGGTTGGCGGCATAGCCTCATAGCCACTGTACTTGTCCGGGGAACTGGCACATCACTGATTCTATATTCAGGGTAACTGGTGATTGGGGTATACACATGCAGATTACCCAATTTTAAAGAACTACAAAACAAAATATACTTAACCCTAGTTCACCTAACTTTAACTAATTTAAGGTGATAGTTTCTAAGACTCTTCAAGGTAGAACTACAACAGGGTACTTTTTTTTTAAGATTTTATTTATTTTTAAAGAGAGGGGAAAGGAGGGAGAAAGAGAGGGAGAGAAACATCCATGCGTGGTTGCCTCTTGCGCGTCCCCTACTGGGGACCCAGCCTACAACCCAGGCATGTGCCGCCATGCCTGTGGTGACCCTTGGTTCGTGGACCAGCACTCAGTCCACTGAGCCACACCAGCCGGGGCAGCATCAGGGTACTTTTTAACAAATATGATATTATCTTTGTACTACAGATATCCAGAGGAAACAGGTTCCACCTGAGTGCATTTCAGATAAACTAGATGCCCATTGTTACGAATTTCAAGGGCCTGGCAGATATTATTTTCTGTGGTAGAATGCGTTGCTTAAAATAACTGGGCAATCAACTGGGTAAATAAAAGCATAGTTAATTGTTGAGAAATCTGTGATTCTTGCAGACCCATTTCACCTG